TTATCAAGTCTTCAGTTATTTGAGACTACAATGTAACAAAAAGTCAAAAATTTCATTAACTTTTGAAGTCTATGTTCTCATTATTGTGCATTGGGTTGGGACAATATTCACTACATGTGCATAAAATGAATTTTTAACTAATTTCATTAGTTATCTATTTTTTTATTAGACATCTTGGGTATACAGCAGATAGACAGCAATATACAAACTGTACCAGTTTAGAAATTTTGAAATTTGTATCTTATAAACAATTTGTTACACAGTTCAATGGTCTTTAGAAAAAGTTCTGATAGCACACATTTTTATTCATAGTGTCACTTTTACATTTTGAGATTGTAATTGTGTTAAATATGGTTGGAAATTAATTAAATTTGTCATGGATACTTATATATAGAATTACAACCTCACATGCAATCTTTGTTAGTTTTCTTATACATGTTATAGGTATTTCCACAATTCTCAACATATGCAGTGGGGAGGTCAAAACAGAAAAGTAATGAGAAATAAAAACTTAAAAAGGGGAGTAACTGTAAACTATTTGTATTCTATATAACACTGCAGTCTCTAGTAGTTCCCCTTTTAGTATGGAAAATTTCAAATACATTCATCATGCAGCTTAGTTATAAATTTTGCCTCATTTGAGGTTATATATTATATCTTCAGACATTGAATATTATGTTGCACTTTATCATCCAACTCTGCAAAAAATATTGACAGCTAGATATTATATAATTATCATTTCAATAAGCAATGTACAAAGTTACAAACTTTGGTTTATACAGAATTTATTTTTAGTTTGATTGTGTAGGAAGCTATAAGCTTATAGACACACTTTCGAATCTGTTCCTGGAACAAACCAGTACTGAGCAATGTGTGTAAAGTTTCTTGCTCAATGAAACAACGACTTGCCCCTGACAGAGTTTGAGCTCATTGGGCTAGCGATCATTATATTACTAGTCCGACGTGTTAACCACTCAGCCATGCCGCCACACAAGTTACAAACTTTGTTTTTAAGAATACATTGTACAAAGCTACTAAAGATTTGTTCATACAGATATGTTTCAAACAATAAAAGAAATACTTTTATATTTAATTAAGAACAATAATATTACTAAATTAATGATTTCTGATTTTATTATGCCTAGTCCTGTAAATTATCAAATGTTTGGCAAGCAAATGTAATGCTTTCCAAAAGGTAGACACACTGGAAACATATAAATGTAGAGAAGACAGTTTTAACTACTCCTATAATACAATTAAAATACAATTGCAAAAGTGAGCTACATATGCGACACAAAAGAGAACAGACGGACAGATGAACTGACGGACATGGGTAAATCTAAATACCCCTTCTATAGAGGGGGCACATTTCTAATAGGGTGTATGGCTTGAGTTGATTGTGAAACACTGTATTGTATTTTAACAGGCATAAAGAGTGGGTTGAATACATAGGCGCAAATTTTTAATATAAGAAAACCTGAAAACTGAAAAAATCTTTCACATTATTTTAAATAGTTTTAAATAGAAAAAGTATAAAAAAAAATTTGGGCAAATGAAAACATGTACCCATGTGAATACAACATTACACAATCAACCTGGGTGGTACAAACTACCAGATAAACACACACAATTTTCATTTTGATATACATGTAAAATGAAGAGTTATTTTCCCTTTCTGATATGAATGTCACATCAATGCAGTGATTAATCTAGATGTGCGTCTTGCGTAAAATACGCATAAAAATGGAAAAAGACGCACAGTTTCAAAATATGTGCGTTCAATCTGACGCATGCAAATCAGGAAGTTTATAATCCAAAATATCACGATTAGTGATTTCTATGTACAGATTGATTACTTTAATTTCATTAGTTGAATAATTTTTCAATTTCTTCAGTTGAATAATTTAATTTCCGATGATAACAGGTGCAAGACTAATCCCCCATTTGCTTGAAACGTTAAATCCCAAGCAATTGTTGCTTGTGATCGGTAACCGCCCATTATCGGCATTAGCCAATCAGAGCGTCCATTTTGCATAAGAGCGATTCGCCTACAATTGTGAAATATACAGACATCAATTGGCGCTAAAAAATGAGAAGGGCACAGGAAAATCGTCAGCAAATGGCCAAAGGCGCCCAGACTTATATTGTATGTTATAAAGTCATCCAGACAAAACTGGTACCAACAGCAACAGGTACCCATTACCCTGTAATAACGCATATTCTTGAGTTTATTCATTTCCCAATAGCATTTTCCAAGTTATCTACTTACCTAATCCCTTTCCCACCTACTACTGCATTTCTACTACCGTAAATTTAATCCAATAAAGCAAACAAAAAATCATTAACGTACTTAATATTTTAAATAATTATCGCTAACTGAAAAAAAGTGTTGCTATTTTAAGAAATGCTGTAAGTTACAGTATAATCTGACAGGTGTGTAATGATTTCCCCTAAGGTCACTCAGGTTCACGCGGAGTGTAAAAAAAAAAAGATGTCTATTACGTCATCAGAATATTTGACAGGGTGATTAACCAATCAGGGTAACATTGTGCATGACTTTTTTTCATGATCAAAAGGTCTGTCTGTGTATGCTTTCTACACAGAGGCATACAAGGAGCAATAAAAGTCGTCAGTATGTATACAGTGTGAGAGGGACATTTTGTGCAAATTACGAACAATTAAAATGGATAATGCACAGTATTAGACATAAGTAGTAAGAAAATATAAATTATGCAAATTAGATTTTTGAGCAGCCAATAAAAATTGTTTTTTGCCTGCAATTAATATTAGTACCAAAAATAACTTTTTAATTCACTTTAATTACTTAATCGCTTGTTAAAAAAACATGCAAATCATGTCAAGGATCTGCTATTAAAAAGACGCATTTATTTTGCTACATGACTCATTGATTTTGCTACAGGACTCATTGTTTTCAAACATGTGCGTCATCCGACGCATTGTAAGGAATTTCTAGATTAATCACTGTCAATGCACCTTCATTACATGAAGATTCAAGCAGCATATGTGCCAGAATACAGTATAATCAATCCAGATGTTTGTATTTTCTCTGATGAGCCATATATTCATCGATAAACTTATCCATAGACAGTAAAAAGAAATTTAGAAACTTCAATGCAATTTGTTACTTTAAAGGCCCATTAAGCCCCACAAAATGCTATTTTTTATGCCTTAGGGCATTTTATTTTTTTATCTTATTACAGTATCCAAAATGTAACTCTTTGGTCATATGAATGAACTATCATTTGCTTCTTTTTCACTTTGGCAATTTGGTATAATTACAGTTACAAGGCATTTGTATGGAAGACGAAATACTACTTTATTCACATTTTGCTACCTTTACAACTTTCTTCAGTTGTTAAACATATAATGCTCAAAATTCAGCATTAAATCATTATTGAACACATGTTTGACCTTTCTAAAGAATTTTTTTTTCTCAGGTATAATGTGCCTTTAATCACAAATTAGCCACACATACAAAATCACTGAATTTCTACTTATTTAATAAAATCAGAAAAACTTTGGACACTTAGTTTATGACTTACAATCTAAAACTGATTTCTTGTTGTTTCTTGTCCAAATAGTTACAGCATTACATATCATCACAGTCATATTAATAATTATGACAGTCTGTTACATAGCAGATGTTACTGGTTTCATATGTAAGAATTCTAAACAAATTTTCCTAAAGTTAATTCACACTAAAAAATAATTGCATTTTGTTTTTTGTTTCTTTTTGTGTGTGGATTTTTCAGTGTGCCAAACGTTACAGGTCAGATGGCAACTTTCCAGATTTCCTGGTGGAGGAAGACCTCTGATGGCCTAGTTTTAAATATATTATAGTACTGGTGCCTCATATTTCCGTGTTACCCATACTTCCAAGGTATTGGGCATAAACAGCCTCAAGTGCCTCCTAGACTTTATGCACCTTTCAGGAGTTTTACTTTCACTTTCTTATTGTATCATATCAAAATGTTACATATACATCTGAGAAAACTTATTCTATTCAGATGAAGAGCAAAATAAATTATTTCACCATTTTACTTTAAGTTTTCATACCTTTTAAGACAATTGTCTTTGTTAAACAACCATTGAAGTATTTGATAAACGCACAGAGATGTCCCCACTTGCAGATGAGGCTAGGTATAGATGTACTAAATAATAAAGGTTACTATTGTTTTTGCTTGTGAAACGTTTAAATGTAAATTGCCTTGGAAATATGAGTCAACAACTTTTACTCACTAGGCAACAACTTTTACTCACTAGGCAGCAGATGGATGTTTGCTCAATGTAAACATTAAATGGAATAAACTATGATGTAATTGACATGTCTTTTCTACAATATTTAAAGTATTTTCCAGAATTTTATTCTTCTAACTTTTGTTGTCTTCGTTAAACAGTAAAGTACCATGGAAGTATGAGGGACCGGTAAAGTGTGAAATTACTTGTGGCACAGTCCTGTCATTATCACTGCTTGACACGCTAAGAGAGTTTCAAGGGTTTCAGACTCTTAATATCAAACTGTTCTGTTAAACATTAGGATAAATATCAAACTTTAACATTTGCTTCAATATGATATAACAATCAAACACTAAAATCTGCTGAATTTTTGTTACAAATTAGCTCTGATTTAGATTTATAACAGTCTATTCAAAGTAAAGGGGATACAAAAATTGAGTTATCAACAGCTATAGAGCCTGATCAGACTGCAAATTTGCACAGACTGGTCTGGCTATAGACTGGTGGCAAAGGCTCATCACTTTCAGTTTCAGCAGGGTAAGGGTTAAATAAGGATTATAATAAGAAAATGGTGGTACCTAAACTGTTTTTACAATTCAATGGTATATGATACTGCAAATTGCATAATTTTGAGAGACAAGAAAGTAAGGGGAACAGCCTTGATATTGGGACTTTTTTAAGTGAGAAATTACTGTAATATCAATCCTAAACCCTTGTTACTTAGTTCAGACATATAAATTTACCTGTTGTCTAAAACTGGCCATTTTTCTATCAGCAATCTCATTTTTGTCCCCAAGTTCTGTGACATGCCTCTCTAGCTCAGCTATCCTACTATCTGCCACCTGTAGAAGGTCAGCTACATATGGATCATCGGCTAGGCTAGGTTTAAATCTCTGGTAGTCATCAGCTGGAGGTACTGTGCAGTCTATCTCCATCCGTTGTCGACGGAATGGTATCGACTTCTTTTTACCACCTGTAATGAGCAGAAAAGCTTTTATAAACATACTTCATGTGATATATTTATGATATATAATACTAGTATATATATTCGTTTTCAAATTATATAGCAATAGTTAAGATACAAATTCTCAATATCAAAATATTTTTAATCATATACATATAGTAATAAGGATAAAATTTTATTTTCAAAAGGTCCTTACCATAATTCAAATTTTAACTCTAAAACACTTTTCACTTTAGATAACAAGATCTCTACTAAACCGAAATAATATAATCTGATGGCAAATTAAAGGTCTCATGGACTAAAATGTGCCGAAAAGAAAGATAGCAAATTTGTTGATGTAAATGTCTTGGATTATGACTTTTCCATCAAATGTAAAAAACCACACTTGCATGCCAAATTATTCTGCAGAAACTAAAAATTTCACATTACAAACTGCTTAAAAAGTGGCATAACTCTATTAATAATTAGTTGTTTGCAGCCAAAATTGACCTTGACCTTAGTTTTGATATAACATTCTTACATGCTAAATATAAACGCAACAACTGAAATCCTTCAAAGGATATGCTGTGAAAACCAATACTCTCATTTAAAAATTGTCTAAAACAGGGCATAAATCCAATGAGTTGATTGTAGCCAAAATTGGACCTGATCTAAGTTTTGATATAACAAACTTACATGCCAAATACAAACTCAATCACTGATATACTTCAACAGTTATCTGTTGGAAACAATAATTGTCTACTGACAGACTCATGGACATCTGACCAAAATGGAAAAATGGGTATTTCTTCTGTTAAAAGGGAACCACTGAGTTTTTTTAACTTGACAGAACTGATATTTTTCAAATATTTGTGTACCATTAAAAATTTTGATTTTTGTCTAGACCAATAATTTTTGTGCAATTTTTCACAGGAGTCTCTCTCCTCGTTTTCCAATAATCAAAATTATTATTGCGCAAAATAACCCAAAAATGAAAAGTTTTATTACTCTTTTCACTCAAATCGGACTTAAATTTGCATAAAAAAATCAATTTTTTCAAAGTAATTCAGAACATATTTCTTTATTATCCTTTGCAAGTCATTCCATTTAAAGTGATTCATTAATTTTGATTTATGTAAATTTTTTTATGTTTTCAGGCTTTTTGACCTCAATGGAGTTCCTTTAAAAAAGAGACATTGGGTCCTTTTTCTATTGTTATGGGATGAACTCTATTAGTTAGATTGCCCCGTTATGATATTTGATAGTATAAACAGGCAAATAGACAGACGGATGTACATTATCATACCCTAATACATCCCAAAGATTTTTAGACATATAAAAGACATCAAATGTTAGCAGCTAAAGAAATTTTTGTTTATTTTAATATGAAAAGCTAAAGAGTTTGTCAACTCTAAAGCTTGCCAAATTTAAAATTAGAATATGAAGAAAATATTCGCAAGATTCTATAAAGGCATTGAATGGCTTTATAGCTCTGAAAAGATGTTGGATTAATGCAATATAATTGCTTAAATCTGACTGTCAAATTATCTAATTTCAGTCTAGTCTAATCTAATACATGTATAAATATGACTATATAAAACAGTAAGAACTATAATAACTAACCTGTGTTTAATTTATGTAATTTAATTTTACCTCTACCAGTTTCACAATATGGTCAGGAGGTTAATGAAAATATTGATATGGAAATGACGTCAGTAAACGACGTCAATGTTAATAAATACAAGGGACGTCACTCTAAGTGACATCAAAACAGTCAATTTAGTTTAGATTGAAATATTTATTAACGTTGACGTCATTGACGTCGCTCTACATATTAATATTTACATTATCCTCCTGATGAAATTGTTTTTAAATTTTTAAATTTTTTTTTTAATTTATTTGTCCTGACACTTATAGAAACTGGTAGCAATAAATTTAAATGAGAAAATACAGTTAATGTCAGTTATTTTTTAGTATAATTTTTCTTGTTCTGGCACTTTTTATCTTTTTTATATCTTTATAGAAACATACCTGGAGTTGAAACAACTGCATGGAAATTTTTTTCTTGCAAATTGAGTATTCTATCAGATTTTTCTTTTGACTCCTTTTCCAATCCCCTGACTTTGTGAACATACTGGTTATTTAAGAATTTTAAATCAGCATTCTCATGTTCAAGCTTGCGTAGGGAAGCTTTCAGCTCTGTAAAAGTATGAAAACATTTTAACTTTATCTTTTAAAAGAAAAACATTCCTTTATGTAAAAAAAATTAATTTATTTCTATGGAAAAGACTGTAAAATACTAAAAAACTTTTTCGATTATTATAGTATTAATGCTGATTTTAAAAGTACACATGAACTAAGTAAGTAAGAATTTTTCAAAATTCATGTTATCAATAAAAACACATTTTACATTTTCTTTACTGGAAAATGGTTATAAGCTGAAACTGCAATGTTTTTGCCAGTACAGAGCTTGTGCAGTTACTGCAGTACAACTAGGTTTTAAACCGATGACTGACCGACTACAGTTCAAGTACAGTTTGTCAAATTTAATTTTTCAATTGAAAAATGATAAAATATTATAATGGACAGTCAGTAATGTTTCACCTTATATAACAGAAGCCTTTAAAAGGCCTCTTCCTAACAGAAATTTTCTTTAAAATCATGCAGTTTTCCCGAAAATCTAAACTTACACCAGCTTTTATACTTCTCAAATTAGCAATTTTGAAGATTTTTTTTCAAAATCAAAAAGGCAAGGCCCCTTCCCAATTATGAGAGAAAAAAACTTGGACAATTTCAACAAAAGTAAAAACAACACCTCTAAATATTGCATCTGACTCTTCTTTCTGTTTGATAAGCTGTTTATGAAGGTCATTATTCTCCTTTACCAGCTTGGCATTATCACTTTTGTATGGTTCTATAGCCGAGTCAAAATCTTTGGTCTCTGTAGTTTGCTGTCCTATCTCAAGCTTTGCATTCTTTAAGCTCTCTGTTGTGTGTACGAGGTCTGCAAACAACTTCTCCACCAGAGGTAGTGATTCAATGCCAAGTGGTTGTTTGTACCCTAACTGGTCAAGGCGTTTGCGCAGGTTGGAGAACTTCTGCTGAGCCTGTGCAGTTGCAGTTCCCGACATTGTCAACGGTCAATGCTAGTTCATATCTAAATAATAAATCAACACAAATTATATAATGTATCTATATATTTAAATAGTTTCTATATTCAGCAATATAAAATATCATGAAATACGGTATATTTGGTAAGTTCTTTGTATATTAGGCATATGAAAAACAGAAAAATATAGATCCACTCAACCATCTTAAACATCAACCACATGAAAATATGCATTTAACTATCTATATACATGTACAAATACATATAGAGATACATACATTATAATTTTACAAAGTAAATATCAAAAGCACTATTTCAATGATCAAAGTCAGTGTTTTTTTGTTTTTGTTTCCTTAATAAAGGTTGTAAAAGTGTGCTGCTTGACAGAGCGAGATGTTTCCAACAGAATCATTACACAGGTTCACTTCCTTGGTGTGATAGTTCTGGTTACATGTTTTTTTGTTACAGCTGGTGTATGACCAATAGTGTACTCACCACCCAAGGACACAATATTAAATTAGTAACTCAATTTTACTTGTCTCTTTCAGAAATTTGAATTATTAAGTATCGAAACAATGGTTTTCCGAATCTGATTTTAAGCGCCAAACCGATTCTGACAATTTAAACTTGCTAAATTTTGGATTCGAACTTTAGTTGCCAGTGCTGTTACTTGCCCTCCTCACATCTTTATCATGTTGAACCCATGTTGCATCATACAATTTACGTACCAGTTTATCAGTCACTTTCGGTTTCCAGTCAATTGAAACTTAAAGTTGATTGTTTATTGACTCTGTGTTGTTGTTAGTCTACAGTTCAATTTCTACATTGGTCGGCAATCTTATTTTTAACATGTCTGACATAGTAACTCAAAAAGTGTGGGTGGTCTTTTATCGAGTCTTTTTAATTCATGTTCCTCTCACAAAAGTAGCACTAACTCTGGTGCTTGCAACCCCATTTGCTTCAAATATTTTATGTATATTGTTGTTTCTGTCAATTATACGTTTTGTTATTTTGTCTGTCATATTTCTGTTCAGAATGACCTTAATATGCTTCGTACAAAGCCTTTATTTTGCTTCAGGAAAACTTCGGTCAATTGCACTTGTCATAGCCTTCTCATCATCTGTTCCTACATGTATGAGCATTTCAATGTCCTTTAATGCTACATGTATGTTGAGTATTCCCCATAAATAGGTAAAGAAGCCGTAGTATGTTTTTGTTTTACCATCCCAGTACAGGATAAGGGGTCCTAACATGATAGGTTGTTCTCCATTCTCTTTACGTACAACCTTTTGGCGCTTATATACAAGTAACGTCACATAACATCTCCCCAGTAAAAATGTTCAGTCTATACCTACTACACCACCATTTGATTTTAAAAAAGATCTCAAATCAGCCCATTGTTCATCGCTGCAACAAAATGTCAGAGGCTGGTCACTTTTACTTGTGTGTATAATTTCAATTTTCATCGACCAAGGGGTAGTCCTTTAAGCTCTTTGATGATATGCAAAATTTCATCACAGCATTTTTTTTATTAGTTTCTTGAATTAAAAGTTCTGGCAGTGGCATAAGTACTTAGAATAATGTGCAGTCATCTAGTTTAGTCAATTTGTTATATGCATCAATTATTGGTTTGTCAGTTTTAACATCTTCTTTTATCATTTTAATTGTAATGCCAAATAGGGTTTGTATGGTTGCTCATTATTTTTGGAGTTTCCATGTCGTCTCTCAGGTCCATGATACTGTCCTTTATATTCAATTACAGTAACATACTTTCTTTTAGTCATTGATGCTGGAAAGTTCTTACACCAGCTAACCCTTCTCTTATAAGTTTACCTCTCCTTTAAGAACAGAGTAATATCGATGAAGTGTCACTACATTTCCTACACATGGCTGTGGATCTAATGGTGTCTTTATTACTTTACCCTTCACTTGATTTTCACTACAAATAACACCGTCTTTTAAGTGAATAAACCTGATGTTTGTTTGTCTGTTTTCAAGCATTTCCAGGAGAAATGTAGTTTTGCAGCTTCTTGTTTTCTTTTTTTGTGTTCCACACACCACAATCGTCATAGTTACTAGCTTTCTTTCCTGACAAAGTACATTTGTTATTGTCTTCCCCATCCAACAAACAGAAAGACATTGTCTTTTTTCCCTGCGGTATTTCTAAGATTTCGGAGAATCTCCATGTATTGTGCTCAACAAATCTTCCACAGATAAAAACTTTCCATTTGGTAAGGGCATGAAGTTCATTGTCAACATTTTCTTAATTTGTATTTTCTTCGTTGATACCCACGGACACATACTCACCGGATTGATTTTGTTTACTATTTGGTGTAGAGCTTTTAAATTAACACTTAAATTGCATTCACTTACACTTAAATTGGAAGAAGTATATTCACTTTCATTTTTTGCAACACAGTTAATTTCACTTGAATATGATTCTGGCTCATTATCACCACTTAAGTAATGGCAGTGAACAATTAGAATGAGTTAACAATAGCACAAAATGATTCATTCACTATGTTGAAATGTTGTTTTTTTTTTCCAAATAATTCTTTGTTGTTTCAAATAACTCATTTATTTAATTCTAAAAATAACATAAAAGCATTATCAAAGACAGTAGACATTATAGTGGTGAAAAAAAAATTGTGTTGAATAAACTGTCACATCTGTCCCCCTCTCATAAAATATCCAATTACATGTATAAAACAATACTCATAAAAAAACAATGTTTCTGGTGCTTATTGATGGTCTCACAATGAAAATGTTAAAAAAATTGCCAATTTCTATGTTTATGAGAAAAAAAATACAATAATGTAAAAGTTGTCTGTAACATCTGTCCTGTAACATCCGTCCCCCTATATAAGGTGCTTATTAAATCTCACATAAACTGTAACTGAAAAGGGAATTTTCCACTAAATCTCCAAAGTTAAAATGAAAAATGAAGAAAAACAGAAATAAAAGACTGATTGATGTATTTATATAAAAATTATTATTTATGAACACCAAATTCCTTGATTTTGAAAAAAAAATCAGTATTTTTTGCTCTGAAAACATAATTATTTACTTTGAAATAAATTTTTATGTTATTTTTTAACATCAAGTGGACCTATAATTTATTACAATAATATTAAAGCCTATATGAATTTGTGACAAATATAACCTTGTTATTTTGTGTTTTCAAACTAAGGGTACAGAAGGGGACGGATGTTACTGAAATGAACTTATGATTCTTTTTACAGTAATACTAAACTTATCTTGTTCTTATGATGCATGATAGAGAAGTAGTAAGCTTTGCAACTGTACAGGAATGTTTCACACAACAATTAATATAATATTTAAATAAACAAGAGCTGTCCGTAAGACAGCGCGCTCGACTTTTTTATTGCTTGCCAATAAAAAAAGTTTTTGCAGTAAAAGGCAATACAAGAATCTCTGTATTTTTAAAGTGAACTAGTTGTTTGATACCCTTGAATATTACAGCAATGTTTATATGACATAATTTATGGTAAAGTGAACAAGTGGATAGGAATGAATTTTTTTAGATTTTTTAAGTTTTTTAGTGCTTGCCTATAATACAAAACATTGACAGTTAAGGGCCATAATTCAAATAAAATCTTTGACAGAATTACCTTCTCCTGGACATGTTTGGGAATCATGATTGTAAACAAGTATTCCAACTTTCAAATTAATATCTCAAACAGTTCAGTCAAAAAGTGGACTGGTACTAAAAACTTAACCAAGATTCTAAGTCGATAAAAGGCCTTAATTTTTAAAACAAATCCTTGACAGAGTTACCTTCTCTTGCGTACAGATGGGGGTAATGATGTGAAATAGCATTAAAAGTTTCAAAGCAATATCTCAAAGGGTTAAGGCAATAAGTGGATTTTACCCATATTCAATGTATTTTCTAAGTCAAAAAGGGGCATAATTCTGTCAAAAACCTTGACAGAGTTATGTCCTCTTGTCTGTTGATGAAGGTCGTGATGGTAAACAAGTATGGTCAGTTTCAAAGCAATACCTCCAATGGTTTTGAAATAAAGTGAGGTGGTACAAAAAACTTAACCAAGCTCAATACACTTTCTAAGTCAAAAAAGGGCCATAATTCTGTCAAAAACCTTGACAGAGTTATGTACTCTTGTCTGTAGATGGAGGTTATGATGGTGAACAAGTATGGTAAGTTTCAAAGCCATACTTGTAATACTTCTGAAATAAAGTGGGGTGGTACGAAAAACTTAACCAAGGTGTGACGCCAACGCCGACGCTAACGCCGACGCCGGGGCGAGTAGGATAGCTCCCCTTTTCATAGAAAAGTCGAGCTAAAAAGGGAACTAGAAGAAGCAAACACAAAATCCAAAACAGGATATAAAGAAAGAGGGCAAATGGTAGAGATTTGTGATTAAAATTGGTCAATTGTTAAAACATAAATTCTTAAACCTGCAACTTGACTATTTAAGCCACTAGATGGCGCTGGGGCAGATTTTCATGGTATTTTTGACATGCTTCACATCTAACAGCCCTTTTTTGAAATAGTAAAATAACCAAGAAGTATTTTGCCTAAAAACTTTTTGTATAACTTCTTTGCAACATTTGAAATAAAATGGCAGAGAAAATATCACAAAAGATTCACTTAAATGTACTTTGTGAAAAAAAAATCAGTTAACTGTCAAAAATTTGAAAATCCCGGGGCGGAGTAAATGGGGTCATGAACTGCAGGTTGTGAACAAATACATGTGGCAGTGTTAACTTTCCAGTAGAAACATGAAATATTACTCTAGGAAGGGAGCTGCTGATCAGTAATCGTCTGCTATAGTGTTTGTTTACATCAGCTAATTTTAGCACAGGTACAGGTCCTTTGCATGATTTATCTGATAAACACGCCTACAAAATTCTCCCTACCAGGGCAGGGATTTTTGCGGCTTTAAGCCTTAAATAGTTAACAAATCATGTATCCCAGCCCCTCATAAAACAGTTGTATATGGATCCTCAGGGGCTGGCACTTTATTGGAAATTTTTACGAGCTGTATATTGGGAGCTGTTTATTGTATATTGGGAAGTGTGATATAGTGCAAAACAGTAGGGGTGCCAATTAAGGGTGATATACATTATGCTTAAAAACAGTGGGAGGGACTACCATATCTGTTAGAAAAGGCCTGTCATTAAGTAAGCTGTAGATCAATTAAGTGAAAGGATTTATTGAACTTCAAACTTTTAAAGGCTAAAGATGTAGTCAATGAAAAATAAACAAATAAATATAATTCAACACCCTGATTAAATTTTTTTTTTCTCCCACCCCCACAAAAAAATCCAGCATATTTTCATACGATTGGACCCATTTAATTATCATTAATGAAGTGGAAGAAATTTGCAAGTAAAGAATATGGTTAGGATTTCTGTAATAAATAAGTTTGTCTGTAAATGAAAGGTTAGAAATAATAGGCTTATGCCACTAAATCATAATGAAACCTTTGGATAATGCTGCTGACATTCCACATTAATTTACTTATAATTCCATCAAATCGATAATAATTACAACAATTTAAAATCTTTTTAATGAAAAGTTTTGTTTATAATGAATGTATTTATTAATAAGAAATTCAAGCTTGCATATGTTTCAATCTGAAAAATCATATTAACTTCACACTGTATCATATCTTTTACAAAGATAAATCTTATAATATAACAAAAGTATTTTGTAAAAGATTTCATGTATAGAGAGGTACCATTAATTGGTTTTTTGTTTGCTTTGGGTTTAACGTCACATTGACACAGTATAGGTCATATCGCGACGTTCCAGCTTTACTGGTGGAGGAAGACCTCAGGTGCCCTTCCGTGCTCTATTTCAGGCACGAACGGGCACCTGAGTAGAACCACCGACGTTCTGTAAGCTAGCTGGATAGCTTCCTCACATGAAAGAATCCAAAGTCCCTGTCGGGATTCGAACCCACAGCGGTAAGGGGCAAGTGATTTGAAGTCAACGACCTTAACCATTAATTGGTATGACATTCTTTCTTTAACACAGTGTCAATGCATTATCTGGAAATAAGGATTCTTTTATTTCATTAGCAATGTTCTTATTTTATTCCAAACATTTCAATGTTTATTCAAATGTAAGATAATAAACTGGAAGAAATCTTTGTCAATGCAACTTTTCATTGTGAAACACAAAAAGTAAGAAACTCCATAATTGTTGGGTATATTTCTACATTTTTCTCATAATTTGTTCAATTATTTTACATTTATTGTACTATACAAAGCATAATACTCTTAGAAATTTTATAAGTTGAAAATAAAACCCAAGAAAGTATGAACTATGAGCTTTAAACATCTAGTGTTACTGTGTAACATCTGTCCCCCAAAAATGTAACATCCTTCCCCCTGATACAATTCATTTCTGGATTATCTGACAAGAAATAAACATAAGAACGTCCTATAATTTAAATTGTTTTATAAGAAATGTGTTTGAAAATTTGATTTAAGTATGATTTGATGAACCTTTCCTTGTTTTTTTTTACTTTGTTTCTAACATGTTTGCAAATTGAATTTTGCGGGGAAAAATATTGACAATTTGAAAGCAAATATTTTTATATCTAAGATGAATTTTCTGAAAAAGTTTTGTGACACTTATTAGAATACATCCTATTTTAATAAAATAAAGAGAAATAATTTACAATTTTTATTATAAATTTTTAGATATTCAGACTTTTAGTTTATCTTTGTAACATCCGTCCCCACCCCACACGGTCCGCATAAGATGTAATATTTTGAAAAAATATTCCATTTCCAAAAATATTGTTACAGACATCCTAAGGTTCTGAAAAAGCAAATATTTTCTTGTATGTTTAACTTTAATTTTTTACTTAGATGCTAACACAATTGGCCCATTTACTTTGGAGCAGGCAATATTTAAAAAGAAAAAGAAAAAAAGAAACCACATAAAAAAAACAATTAAAAATGTATAGATTTACACGCGGAAAGTCCGAGCGGGGCCAAAGGCCCGGCGAGGGCTGTAGCGCTCTAAGATAACATGTATGACTCGTATCAATTCAAATGAAATCAAATTGAAAGTAAATGAAAATTTCAAAAAAATATATATCCTATACCTAATGAGCTGTGAAAAAATCCTTAGTTAACTGGGCGCCGCCATTTTGAAATCCTTTTGAGCTAAATATAGATTTCAGAGCGCTTTTAATGAGCGTCTACATAATTTAGACTATTGCTAGCAGACGCATGCTAAATAACACTTCCGGTGAAAGAATGATGTACAAAATCAGAAAGTAAACATGCATTTCATTGAACTATAGTAACAATAATAAATATAAAAAGTTACTTTAACATATCCTTTTTGATAAATCAGCACATTAAAAAATAACGTTAAAAGTTAAAACAACAACTGACTAGAGATTAACAAAATGGCGAACGGGATTTTCCAAATGCCGATGCGTGCGCAGTGGCCCCCTTTACTTTCGGAGATTTCCGGGCGCTCCGATGATAGGTTGAACACCACCAATTTATTCATTTTGTTTACGGTACAAAATACCTGCAAGAAAGATCTGGTTTACATGTACATTAAACATGTAATACTAAAATCATAATTCATAAGAGCTTTCCGCGCCATACGTAGCACCTAATTTCATATTAAACCTATCAGCGAAATTTTCAGTTTCATTTCTAGTTGGATGCCACCATTTTCAAAGTAACTCAATGATAATAGGCAGGGTATTCCGATAACAGAACAATCTCAACGTTTTGGCTTAATAATAATAGTCAAGGTGTTCCACGTGAAAACGGAAACAGCGCAAGAGAATACCGACTGACACCTTTAAATAAGAAAATGTAAAATGAACGATTATTTTCACTGACTTCCACGTTCATAGGCTTTGCATAATTTCATGTTAGATAACTTGCATATTGGACATGGATGATGGAGGCTACAAAGAACACAATAAAATCATAATTACAAAAGGCATGCACACATTATTTAGTTAAGGGGTCTGCTAAACTAGATTCTATCTATATTTCCCTATTAAAGTTTGTAAAAACAATTTTTACCATGTGACTATAACGAATACACATTTACTTCTTACCAAGCTCTAAGTTACTATTTTTTAAGAAATAACGTTATAAATTATTTCGGACAGCCGTCGTAAAAAAGCAAAAATTAGGATACTGTATATAAATTTCAGATTAGAAACGATCACTTTCACTATGGGTTGAATTAATGATAAAGCAAAAGTACCTTTTATTTTAAATTTGTAAATCAAAATAAAGATTAATGTTTAGAAAACAAGTTTGGGCAAGACAAAAATAAGTTTTGAATATGGCGGAATTTCCTTCTATTCGGAGAGTATTTTATAGGCATAAGACGATTAAATTGTTATGTGGTTACGCAGTACTATAATTTATACCCGTGGTTGGTCAATCCGGCCCCACATAATTCTAGTTGGTCATTGCGGCAATCCGGTCAACTCGGCCCCTGGTCAACTCGTCCTCTGGTCAACGCGTCACCTTTTTGGTCAACTCGTCCCCTACTTTTGGTCAACTCGTACAGTATCATTTTTTGGATGAAATTTTGCTTTTTTATTTATAAATAAAATATTTTTTTCAAGAAAGATTTTAAACTTTATATATGTAAGTCATTTTATATTTTGCCATGAGATAAAACTTTACCAATTTAACTCTGTATTATGGGCGCATCTTCATTACCGATATACAGTACTCTCAGTATTTTGTCATGTGTGGTCAAATATTTACGGTGAAGTTAAAACATGTGACCTAATTCAATAAAAAAATGTATTGATTAAACAATTTCAGACTTGGTAAAATTTGTGTTGAAATTACATTTTATTTTTGCGAAAGTCGAAGTAAATCAACCAAATGTTTACTGATTTCTAGGGAAAAATATGATTTCACGGAATTTTCAAGACAGGCAGATGCTTTTAAATGGTCCTGCTTGCTATAGAAAGGAAAAGTCCTATAATGTATAACATAAACACTAAATAAGATGCTTTAGAAATGCTTTTTGATTAAAATTTTACATCACTTACACTTCAGTATTTATACAGATAAAGAGTTCAAACTAGCTGAATATATATACCAAAAAAAATTATCATCACATTCCAGGGGGCTATTTCAAATTTACTAGTACATATATTTCGATCTACTAGTTTAAGAATTATTATGCTAATTTACTCAGTATTATGTACACGCTTAATATTCTTCTTCACTGACCAAAAGTAATATCTGAAAAGCGTCTGCATGATCTGGAGTCAAAAACATTATGTTGAGAAATTGCCTAGAGGCATACAGTATTTGACTGACAGGAAACTCAGCAGGAGTCCAGACCATAATATACAAATATTTAGTGACTTACATTTACCTTAAGCCAGTTTTTGCTCATATTTTACCCTCAATATACCATCTATAATAGAATTTGTTTTTAGGCCAGGGTGTCTTGGGTTGGGGGGCTTCAGCCCCTTAAGTCCCCCCCCCCCCGGTGGATCCGGGCAGGTGAAAATGAAATAGCCAAAAAAAAAACATGTGGAAAAAGTTATTTGAGATTAAATAATTAAACTACAAAATGTTCGGAAATTGACAACAGGATACTTATTACGGCTATCAAATGGCACAAACAACCGATCTATATTATATTTATGTCCCCTATCTTTCTAAATTTGACAGTATTTTTGCATATTTGAAAGATTATTTTAATAACGGCAACAAAATATATTACTCCCCTAAAAAAGAATACCAAACTTCATCTACCTTTTTGGATACATGCAATCGATAAATTTAACCAAATTATGACTATTTCCGTTGCCAATCATGATTTTGTCACATTGACATATATCCACATATTAAAGTCAGTGATTCATTTAAAGCCGTGATTCAACCCATGTACATTAATAATCATACTCATTAGCTATTTCAAAATACTATTGTGGTATAGCCCTTATTAGGAAAATATAAACAACAACAATATTTCTGAAGTATTTTGTTTTCAATAAAATCTTTTAATTATGTAAAAAAAAACAGCCTTTTTCATTGGTTGTTTTTGCTGTTAGGTCTGAATTTCACTTTTGTATTACTACTCCATTCCATTTATTGTATTTCGGATAAACAACATTTTCGATTGGTTGTTTAGCTTGTTATTATGTAATGTAAGGTGCTGTATCGCACATTCTTTATGTGTATTTGTTTCATTTCATAATTAATTCTGCTTATATATTTTATTACATTCGATTAAAGCGGATTTGCTCCTATTTATTCTGTTTTATCCATGAATGGATCACCTAAAGGCTTTCCATTAATATGTTAAATAATATTTACGTCTATTGATGTTATTTAGTGTTTAAGTTTAGTCATGGGTAACATATAGTTTCAATTTGAATAATTGGCTTCTAGTTGTTTACGTGTCTGCTTGCTCTTATAAATGATATTATTTTTTGAGATTGGTTTTGGCATAATTTTATAAGGTCTACATATATACATGTAATAAATCAAGAATACATGCATATTAAAACAATAAATATTTTTATCATCATTGATTAGGCTACATGTTTCTCCTTCATTTCTGTGAAACACCCCCCCCCAAACAATCTGATTTTAAAAAAGAGGGATGAAGAGTCTGAGGAATGAAGTGACTGCGAAAAATTGGTATGGGGCTAAAGTATCCGAGGAGTTAACTGTCTGTAAAACATATTTAGTACCGCGTATCCTAAAAGAATATATTTAGTGGTTTCGTATCGCCGGTTACTTCCCTTTAAAGATTTTGCAAATCAAGCTGTAATTACGCCGAATGTTTACAATTACAGTACTGTAATACTACAAAAATTATCCGAGTACAGTAGTATTGTCAAAAGGAACCGTTAACTTTCACAATGGTTGCAATATTCTGTCGAGTAACGGCTGAATTAGCACGAGATTTCATAGAAAACTTTCCACGGCAGTTCGACTTCAACGGGATGCTGACAAAAATTTGTGATGATATTGATGTGGACATTTCTTTTCAAAACGAAACCTATCTTCTACAGGGAGACTGGAATAATCTTGGACGAGCATACAATATGCTTGTTAGTACTTTAGCTGTGTATGGCAATGCAAGTTCTGTTGCAAAAGGATCAAGGCCTTTTTCGGCACTAGTTGAAGCAGCAGAAGCAATAAGCCGTGGTGTTGAGTTGCAAGAACAAGTTCAGAATGAAATGACGCAAATGAACAAAGTTAATCAATATAATTCTATACCTCAATTTCCTATCAAATACCATGACCATGAATATGACAGAGTCTCAAGATATTCACAGAATTCTATGGATGAACAAGAAAGTACATCAGAATGTTCTATTCCAGACTCTTTAGAGAATATGGACAAACAAAAGGATATGCAGTCAACAAATCTCCCTGAATTTCAGGAGGAAAGTCAGAGTTCTTATGATACCATTCCGGTTACAGAACAAAATGACAGCAAGTTTTTTGATGCACATTCTGATACTATTGAAGTAAAGGATATAAAGAAGGAAGTTGCAGATGATCAATATGTTTTAGAGTCATATAAAAACATTCCTAAACAGAGCATAATAAGCCAAAAAATTGACGAAAGCCTTGACAATGATGAAGATGAAAAATTCAATGATTTAACAGTTAACAAATTAAAAGAACAGAAAGAAGGGCTTCAGGGTCCAATCGCAAAGTGCGACATTTGTGAAAAAGTTTTCAGTAATGTACCTTACATGAAGCGCCACCGTAACTGTCATAAAGATGTTTTCTTCAGTTGTGACGAGTGTGGAAAAAAGTATAAAGTGCAAAAAGCTCTAAGAGAACATAAAAAAACTCATGATGAAGGTTACTTAAAACCTAAATTCAAATGTGAATCTTGTCCAAAATCATTTTGTTCAAATTATTTGAAAGAATGTCATATTAAGTCTGAGCATTTAGGTTTGAAAAAATATTTTCTCTGTCAGACTTGTGGGAAATCTTTTACCACAAAGCATACTCTTCAGCAACATGTTAACGCCCACACTGGTGTAAGACCTTATCAGTGTACAAAATGTGGAAAATGCTTTACATACGAGGCTGCTTTACGCGATCATAGATTTACTCATATTGAATCAAAAACTTTTACATGTGAATATCCTGGTTGTGATAAGGCATTCCGACAAAGGTCTGCTTTGAAAATGCATGAGAAAATTCACAAGAATCCAAATCAGTTTGAATGTACAGAATGTGGGCGTGGGTTCACACAGAAACAAGCTCTACAAAGACACATTAATTCTCATAAAGGTTTTAAGCCATTTAGATGCAAGTACTGTGATCGTACTTTTGGTGATCCAGCCATTATAAGGCGTCACTTAAAACTTGTTCACAAACTCAATAAAGATGTGGACAAATGGAGAGAAGATATAATAGAAGAAACTGTTCAAGAAACAAAAAATGATAAGGATATAACTTCACTGAATTCTGACACAATAGTTACTGTTAGTCAAGGGACAGCATTAGAAAATGTGCCTCTTTTACAAACAAATGACACTAAAGTTATTCCCTACAAAAGTGGGGCTGAAACATTAAAGCCTGTGGACATTAAACATATCAGTGGTCAAGATGAAGAACCTAATACTGACCCTGAACTAAATACTGATCATATACAAAATGTTTTTGTAAGCTATAATGTACCTAGTCAAAATCTTGTTTTAACTAATACACAGGCAGCAGATTTCAGTCAAAGTACTGCACCCTTGATACAGTATCATTTTAAGTCTACAGAAGAAGTTGAAACAGGAAGCACTAGTACTGAGGCTACTGATATAGAAAATGTCAACTCTAAAGCTGAATCCATACATGAACTGGTGTTACACCATGAAAGCGATACAGCAATGATTGAAAGAGAACAAATTCAATTTCTTACCGAAAATCTTGATGGAACATTTAATACAACTATAGACTTAAACAAACTAAAGAGAAATCTTGAACTTCTTACAAAGCCCAATGCAACTGTTGATTTGAACTTGGTGACAGATGTGCCGACTGAAACTTTAAAGCCAGATGGAACTTCTGCTGAGATGCCTCTAAATACAGGTCTAGAAAATACAACAAGATTTGGAGAGATTGAGGCTTTATCAGACAGTTTAGGGCAAACATTACCACAGTGTCAGTACTACTATTACAGTATTGGTAACCAGTATATCAACCTCAATCAGAACCAGCTAAACTCTGGTCTGAATGTGTCAGACAATTCTACAGATAGAGAAATACCATAAAAGAAATGCAAACTATAGAAACAACTTTTGCTTTTTCAAAATAAACATGTCTCTCTGACAATACTCAACCTATTAATTTAAGATCATTTTATTACATTATTTGATTATGGATTGTGTTAAAAATAATTTTTGCAAATATTTTTATATTCAGTTTTTCAAAGGTTTGAATTCATTGCAGGTATTAATTGTAGCACAACATGAACACAAAATTAGTGCCCAATGCCAACATAAGTAGGTTAGCTCCTTTATTTATCAGATACTGAAGTTGAATATTACACTTGAACAAGGGTGTTACTTAACCTTCATTGAGGTGAATTTGGTTATGGGCTTTCTAGCTCCGAATTTGGAACAACAACTATATTTAAATGATGTTTAACATTTAAATACTAACATAAGCAGCCAAGGGTATACAGCCAGGCTTGTCTACACATGTATGACATTGGTCTTTTATTATTACCACTAGCATTTGAAGGGTTGATGATTCAGTTTCATGATGCCTTAGGCATGTTTTAATTTCATCACATTTAAGCATTCTGTAAAGAAAGAATGGGCAACATTTTAATATATTAAGATTTTCATTAGAGAGTAAATGCACCTTTCTCGTGAATTAACATGTGCAGAATATATGTCCAAAGGGGTTATTTGGTTATTCCATGTTTCCATAACTGTATTGCATATGAAGTAACTTGGCTTGTTTGATGCTTTCCACATGCTAGTGTGATGTCATTTGACAGTTCTGTTTTGATTATATAACTAATGTGGCTGTCATTGTATTAAGCTGTTTTACAATGTGCACTGAGTCGCGCATATTAAAATACTTGCACCAAGGCACATGGTCATGAGAGGCATGTTTTGTCCTATGTTAATGTATAGTTGTATACCAACGTGTGCAGTTTTTATGCAAAAATTATTGAAAATTTATTAATACAGTCTAATTAGTTTTGTTAACATGTTACTTTATAAACAATAAATGTTAAGATTTGTAAACACATATACATAAGCTGGACATATTAATCCTTCTTTTGGTCCATTTAGAATTTTATTTTATGTCCTATATTATTTCTAAATTTGTAAATTGCTCAGTACTCTTTATGAATATACAGAATCTATTAAATTTTAGTCAACGAATACAATAACTTGACTTCTGTATATATATAGTTTTTATGAAACAGAAACTAATGAGACACCATTATTCCAGAACTTTCAAGGTCAAGGTTGTTACTGGGTCAAGTTCATATTTAGATAATGTCAATATGAAGCTTTTGTTAAAGTACAAGTAGGAAGTCTATCTATGGGAATAATACTGAAGTGGCCAAGGACACATCATTCATATGCGTGGCTAATCATCTTAATATGCAAGTATTTATGCACATTTATTTCAAATCCATCCATGTAAACAGTTTATTGACATGAAACTTTTCTGAAAACTGTCCTCAAGTTAAGTGTGACCTTGGGCTTTTTGATTAAAAACCATGGTTTTCCATGAGACACAACAGCTTGATGTGCCTAAAATTTCTCTATGATTATTTCAAAATCCATCCATGAATGATACAGTGGCAACATGTCATTGTGTCCAAGACAGTTATCTAAAATCCATCCAGGAATTACAGTATTATTGACCAGACTCAACCATCAATGCATTTTTATAAAAAAAAATCATATCACTTTGGCAGTAACCTCAGATTATAATTCAAAGACATTGAAAATTACCTCAACTGTTATATTCAATTTATTTTCACTTTTTTTATTATCATTATTAAATACAATTAATTAAGATACTTCTTATCTAAATAATCTACAATTACTTCCTTAAAAATATTGTTCATTGAATTCATTAGACAAATGGTGTCCAGGAATATAAAGTCATATCAAGGGAGAAATTATATACATGTATAGATATAAAGCTCTACATAATTACATTGCATGTTGAAAAATATGTCAATTCAACTACACGGTGATAGGGCGTTTACCACAACTTTTCCGTGCAACGTCAAAATATCATACTTCTGCCCGAGACACCGTATCTTTCTGGACAAAATAGTTATGGCGGGCTAATCGAATTGTAGGAAATAGCTTATAAAATATCTTACTGTTAGACATTGCAAACTTTTTTCAACGTTTAAATTATTCCATCAAATTTTTGAAACATTTCATCGTTAATCTAGCACAACATAATTCGCAGAACATCACATATTTCGAAGAAATAGTGTTTACAAAAGGTCGTGTCGACCTCAACATGACTTGTACTTATCACAAAAACCTGGGCTTTAACGACGATGTGTTTTTGCTATGACCTGACGAGCCCATATATATATATAATGGTTAAGCATAAAATTAAGTTCCACACAAGTGGGTGTGTTTCTATTGTAAATTTTTGGGAATATGTGATGCAAAAAGTCTAACTGAGATGCATATTGGAGCACCGCACAACACTGAATTCTAACACCACATTTTTAATCCGTTAGACTGATAATAACTGGCATTGTTTTCTTTTGCACCATACTTTTAAAGAAACTTTCTCTTTTATTAATAAAATGTTATTTTATGGAAGACTTGAAGGTCAAAATCCAAAATACCAGTTAGATAAGTGCAATGGCCTCAATAGATTAGTAAGTTGATTTTTATATGTTTTTTACAAATTTCTTCAAATGTATAAACCCCACATGTACATATCTCTCGTAGATCAACGTTACTGGGAAAATAGAAAAGAAAATAAATGTAGTGATTTAAGGGCGAATAATGTGGTGTCCATATTTTACTATTGTTCAAGTTGTACGGTGCCTAGAGTATGCACATGGAAACATGAAACTCATACCATATACTGTATACAAAAAACAGGTTAACAAAATGGTGTAACTTGTTCAAACGATAATAATGTACATATCTTTATTGCACTTCGATGAGTCATATGAACTAAACGGACTAGAAAGTTTTCAATTTCGCAATCAAAGCAATATTTTTCACAGTATGCCCCAATTGTTTTCACTATCTTGACTTAGATAGTGAATCATTTTGCATGTAGTAAAGAGTAATAAGCTTAAAATTAAATGACACATTCGATGGGATGAAAAATTTGATGATTTTACATTGTTTTGGGCAAATTATCATCTGTTTTCTTGTCGTATGCAGTCTTGACATCCATTTTGTATGACAAAAAGATACGGTGTCTCGGTTAGAAGTATGATATTTTGACGTTGCGCGGAAAAGTTGTGGTAAACGCCTTATCACCGTGAACTATGTCAAAAGAAAAACAACAAAACATTCCATTTGAATGAAAAATTCCTTTCTTTTAATCTCTACATAATATACATGTAGGGGTCTATATACATTTGTCAGTTGCTTAATACTATCGATTTCAATTAACTTTACATGGCATATTTGAGTGGACCTATACCCACAATTAAATAGTATCAATTTATATATTCACATCTATTTAATGAATTATATATAAGTGAAAACAACAGTAAAACTGAGGTTCAAATCAAAGAAAATATAATATTCCTTCCTGGTTTTTCATTTGTCAAGTTCACTGGTTTTTGACCAAACAACACAACAAAATATAAATGCTTACATTTATGAATTTCTTTTAATTTCAAATGTAAATAAAAAATCTCCCATTACTAAACAGTATTCTACTACTTTGGGCAATTACTGCAATATGGAAGTTTATGACATTTTAATGTCTCAAGTTTGCCCTGCTTTAAACTTGGAACAGTCAATGTATGCTAAAACTTTAATGGGATTTATATTGAAAATATTTCAAAATACAAAAAAATGAGCTACTATAACAGTTTAGAGCTTGGTTAGCATCTGTGCAGGCTGGCCTGTCTCTACACTGGTGGCATGGGATAATCTGTTCAGTATCTATCACATTAATGGTTAAGTCAAACAAGTTAATGGAAAAACAAGAATGTTTTTGGTAAACACAAATGCCCCTGGCCCAGATTCTTGTCAGTAACAATTTTTCAAAAAAGGTTTAATCATTTATCACATCACTCAGTCCAACTGTTTTTCGAAAAAGTCGAGCTAAAATTAGGAAATAGATATCAATTCTGAGTGCATTGTTGTAGAATAATGCACGGTTTGAGTTCAAATGCGTAGTAATATAATCACGAAGGCCAATAGGCCTGAGTGATTAATTACAAAGCATTTGAACGAAAAACGTGCATTATTATACAATAATGCACGAAGAATTGATATCTATTTCCATTCTAATACGTCAAGAAAAAATATAATTTTTATTATAACGTTGGACTTTATGTTTGGTGGTTGAATTTGTTTTCGCCTCAGAGTTTCCAATAGAAACGTTCTTTAGAGGCCGTTCCAGTGGGTTGAAAAAAAACTGTTAAATCTACCGTGTGTAGAAACATTTTGAAAATAACGAATTTTGAAAACGTTGATACAACTTTGTTTGTTTATTTATTTCAGTTTATAATTTTCCAAGCGAAATACAAATTATTAAAAGTGAAATAAATGTAAAACTAAACTCGTTTGCGACATTAAATAGCGAACTTGATTTGATTGTTTTGCACGTGCTGTTTGGCGCTACATTGTGACGTCACGTAAACAACACTTTAAACGTCTGTACAGCGTTAACGACTGAATTAAAGATATTGGTGTTCGGATTAATTTTCTTAGTTAGACCATTTTCTTTCATTCTAGATAGTTTTCACAACAAGATTCGAAAAAAATTGTTTTAATTTATCAGATTTTTTAAACAAAATGGCGCCTTCAATGTGAAAATACACAGGGAGATAATAAGAACGGCGAGTGCATTGTTGTAGAATAATGCACGCTTCCTGCCTTCTTTGTCTATATAGAAAAAATTCCGATAGTGTTAGAATATGGAATAAAATCAGATCATGGTAACACATAATCATAATTCTAGTTTGTCATGAAATCAAGCTAATGTAAACATTTATGAAATTAGGTTCAGAAAATTATTATTAAAATTGCCAGAGACTCTCTAAATACAATATTTTCTGAACCTTTATACATGTCAAGGTCAAAAAGCAACCTATGTCTTCTTATTTTAATTAAGTGACTCTAAGTTATAACAGGTATTTAATTAGTACTTGACTGCATATAGCAATAATTATTTTTAATAGTAATATTGAGAGTGTGTAATAAATTTTGGAATAATGGCCTTATGATTGAAATACACATATGCACTTGATAGTTAAGTATCCTAGTGAGTATTTAGTAAAATGCTACTTACAAGATTGATGAAAAAATAGCCAAAACAAGACTTATCATAACAAACAGAATTAAAAGTACATGTAATATTACCATGAAAAAAATATTTGATATTGATTCATTCAAACAAAATTATCAACTTCAAATTCATCGAATCTAAACAAGAGATTACACAAAAACCAGCAGGATAAGAATAGGGTCAAAATAGCTTTCAGACACTCGAATTTACTTAGTGAGTGTGCAGGAGATTTCTACAAAGGGTGATTTAATTCAGATGTACTCAAGTTATTGATCAGAAATGTTTTGGTCTTTGGACCAACCAATGTGTGCAAAGCAATATACACCCACTTCTCCCAAGAGGGACATAATTATTACCATAAAAAAAGCAAAACAAAATGGATTTGAAATAGAATACTTAACCATCATGATATAAAATCTCATACCCACATAACTAAAGAACTCAAGATTATATAAACTGTCAACAAACAGTTAAACTTGTGTCATACAAAAAATAAAATTCTTTGACATCTTTAAAATCCTTAAAGCTTTGTCAAAAAAAGGCATTACTGACTAGTCAGACAGACAATTATAACAGTTTTCATAATAATACACCCCAATACAAACAAATATGCATAAATGTCAAAAAATGAATATATTGCACAAATTTGTTCTTAAAAAAATTGACATAAAATAAGCATTCTATTGCGTATCTACATTTTATCATACATGATTTTATTATGTACCAGACCTGTACAAATTTTGTCTATATTTAATAATTGCATCACATGCACAGATATGAACCCAACAGAGAAAATTCAGTAATATATACCAGTATGATCCAGAATGATATGGCTGACATACATTGCAATATTATATGTTTATCATCGGAAGCCATGGATGTTGATTCTACTAAATACATTCAGCATGAACAAGGTGTACAAGTAATGTACTTATAGTATAAGTACTCCTTGGTTACCGAGGATGCATTTATTTATGGTTGAAGATATAGTTTAAATTTGAAGACATATATAACAATACTGTGCCTAGTAAAATCCATTCAAGTAAAAAAAACAAACAGGTTCCAGCTAAAGATTCTCTTATAATAACCATTTTGTATCCTCAATCAGTTTTTAATGACACAGTCAGTCCCATCTACATGTAGTACCAATCTATCAACACCAGTGATTTTGTTCTACTCTTATTTCTATAAAAAGTAACTGTAAAATCTTTCTTTTTATACAATCAAAGTAATAAATATATTCCTTTATTTAATCATTGATTAACAGCATTAGATAAAACCTAATACCTTAAACTATGCCCTTAAGATTTTATTTATGTACTCTAAACTAATTTTGATAACTCTTGCAACAGAAGAATATATTTGTCATTTTGCCCAATCAAGAATTTTACAGAACAGTTATTATTTAACAATGTGCTCTACAAAATTGAGAATATATTTGGACAAGTATGCAGCTTGTGAAAGCATATTTGAAGAACTGCCAGTTAAGTCAAATATGAATTCCCAAGCTTTATACATGTAAATATATTCTGTATTGTACTGAAAATGATAATGAACATATTTACTCAACAACCAAATCATATAACGTAAATATAAATTGTAATTGAATAGACATTATATTCTAATTAATTTCCTCTTTACCCAGCATATATTACAATGTTTTAGCAAATGACAGTCAGTTTTGCCTCTGAAAAACTTTTTTTTGAAGTATACCCCGTAAAAAGTTCTTAATTTTGAGGACCTTGATAATGCGGAAAGTTTGCAGGACTGTAATAAGAAGGGTAACCTGGAAGACCCCAAGGGTTAGGTAGAGGTTGTCCTTGAGTTGTATCCCCAGACACAGGGGGTAAATGATGAGTTTGTGGTAATCCAGTAAGTGGTGCCATAGAAGTTAAATTGGGCATAAATATTTCACGACGGTGACCATGATTTTGCAAACGAAATGAATCAGTCATTTCATGGTACTGATTTGACTGAATGGCATCACTTTCTGAGCTGTTCACTGAGGTTACTGGTATATTCTGTAAATTTGACTGGTAATTTGTTGGCATACTATAATTTATAGGTAACGAAGGTGATGGCGTTGAATTAGAGTCCTGTGATTTACTGATTATATCTGAAGTTTCAGAAATCCCCTGTGAATGATAAGATCTGCCAATTTCTGCACAATCTGGTAATACTGATTGACTATGAGTGTTTGAAGGCACAAAACTTTCCTCATTTTGCTGAGATACTGCGAGAGAGCTTTCTGATGACTTTGTCAGGGGATAAACACTTTGAACGGCAATTTCAGTCTCTCCCATGTCACCCTTTAATGTGTTGGGTGTAATGTCATTTGTAGCATTTGGCACTGGTTGTGAAGAGTTCTCATCAGCGGCATGGGTGGGCAATCTATCACCACCATTATAGCCAGGACCACCTTCTATGTAAAACTCTGTTTTTCTTTTCAGAGAGCATATAATATCCCCACGCCAAGTCTTCGGATCTTTGTCCCTCTTGTGATGCATCATCATATGACGACGAATGATTGAATAGTCATTAAAAGACCTTGAACAGAGGGCACATTTAAAAGGTTTGTCACCACTGTGGATACGCTCATGACGCAGTAAGGCTTGCTTCTGTGTGAACCCTGTAAAAATACAAGCATTTATTATATATCAAAGTTAAATGTAGAAATAGACACTTTTAGCATTAAAGGTGTTCATCTCTTTAATGAATGTGGTAACTTAATATCATCATATTACCTGATATATAAATGATTTATTATCATTTCTTAGTTTTTACCTGTCTAATCTATTAGCTCTTAAATTTACAAACTACATTTATTTATTCAGAAGAGAAATGCTTATATGAAACGATATAGATGTTCTAAATCTAAATGGTTATTTGAGTCGCATCACGACAAAACCAACATAGTGCGTTTGCTACCAGCATGGATCCAGACCAGCCTGCACATCCGCGCAGTCTGATCAGGATCCATGCTGTTCGCTATCAGTTTCTCTACTTGTAATAGGCTTTGTAAGCGAACAGCATGGATCCTGATCAGACTGCGCGGATGCGCAGGCTGGTCTGGATCCATGCTGGTCGCAAACGCATTACGTTGGTTTTGTCGTGACGCTGCTCAATTTGGCTCTCCACAAAATCTGTTACATAAATATCTTATGACAGATCAGTACCACAATTCATCTGTTTGTCTTAAGACACTATCATTCTTTGACAACAAAGTTTAACATGTTAATAATGTCACCTTTAGTTCACTATGAGTCATAACTGTAACATAGCCACAAATCTGACAGGTTACTATCACTTTTAATATCTTGATAATACATTATAATAATGTCCATCAAAATATTTGCTGTTCTATATGTCCATAACCTGTTACAGAATCCTTTCATGTAAGGTCATAATGATGGCCATGTATTGCTCACTTATATAAGCATTAGATTATTATTGTTATTTTTCAACTTATACAACCCCTTACACCCCCACACATAATGAGAAAAATAATGTGCTCAAATTTGAGGACCACCTGCTGCTGCGACAGATAAAATTTCAATCCATTGCTGAGTGGTTAAGATTGCTGACTTAAGATCACTTTACCCTCACAGCTAACAGAATTTGAATGATCAATTTATCAATTGTGTAAACATGTTTAGAATTTTCTGCAGCATCCAAATACATTTTAAATTGCAGTTATAAAGCACAAGGTCACTTTATGAAAAACAAAGTTTAAATGATTTTTTTTTTAGATTAGAAAACTATTCTTCTGCTATTTGGAGCACCCCATTGCGTAAGTTCTGTTCTAGTGAGCCAAACTTATCTTTCTTAACTCCCATTTTCATTGAAAAGCCTCCTGTTACAAGTTCAAACTGCTATGAAACTATGAAAAATGCTTTAATACTGATGAACTTTGGCACAAATGTTGACTGGACCCTAGCCTCTGTAACAGCATGCTCAATCTTAAATTTCCTGTTACCATGGCAACAGGGGGACGTTTCAAAATTGCCAAAAATCACTATTTTGCATTATTTTTTTCCATCAATACTGATTTCAAAGAGCTGCAACTTCTCAATGGATTGAGATAGAGTAAAAGGCTTTTCAGTGTCGGTTACACGTTACCATATGATCGACCTAAGGCCATATTTAGCCTGTCCCATGTCCAAAAGTTTCTTGACGAAATCAAAATTATTACCTTTCCCGCATGATGTACAAATGTAATCTTTGGCCTCTTTGTGGACCTTCATATGCATAAGTAAACTTGTTTTTTGTCTGAAAGTTTTGGCACATATGTGACAGCTAAACCTTCTTTCATCATCATGCATGTACTTATGTTCCTTCAGAGACTTGTCATATGAAAACGCCTTTCCTGAAAACAAAAGGAATGTTACAAGTTAGTTCTCTGGTTATACATTAATACACAATGAGTAATGTAGCAATTCATATAAAACAAGAGACACATTTATAAAATACTCTGTCACATTTGCTCTAAGCTTTACTACAAGTGCTGTCAGTAGGACAGGGTGCTCAACTACTCTCGAGCTTGATAGTTTAAAACAGGGCATAATATTGTAAAAATGCTTGATAGAGTTACCTCCTACGGTATTCAGGTTGAAATTATGATGGTGAATAAGTGTGCATAGTCTCAAAGACATAATATTATGCTGATGAATTATCTGAGGTGGTAATTGAAATTCTGTCAAAATAAAGTTACCTCCTCCTGTGTACAGGCTTGGGGCATGATGGCGAACAAGTGTTCAAAGTTTCAAAGCCAGATGTCAATGCAATTAGAAAATATTTGAGGTGGATATATCAATGGTCAAAATACAACTGGTGTTTATTTAAAGATTTCGAGCAAAAATTTATCATTTTTCATTATGGATTATCACTTTATTACTCAGAATTGGTCAAGTATTTACATGATTGTCAAGAGTTTCATCAATATGATTAATGTACCTTCTCAGCAGAGTTTCTTTCAGTATCTAACTTTTATATATAATAATGTTTTGTAACAAAATTCAATGTCAGGGTTCTCACTAGGACTTTAAAACATTGAGTCCATGGACTCCCAATCCTGAAAAAGTTGGAGTCCAAAAGCGTGTCGCAATTCATATGTTTACAGATTAGTCATTCAATGCTCACAATAGCAATTTGCTGATATTTTGAATCTTCAAGAGACTTCCAAAGTTTATAGTTATTCAAAAGAAACTCTGAACTATAAACATGCGTACCGGGATGCCGAAATAAGCGTCCCCGAGAACCCTGAATGTGTGAAAAAAAAGCCCTGGATTGGATTTCATTAAAATTTAATGAAATACTTTTTTAAATAGTCAGAAATAAAATCTGCAAAAAAAAACCCATACAATTTCCCAAAATCACATATTTTATGGCCTTACCACAAACATCACAAACATATGGTTTTATCCCAGCATGTACATTTGCATGCATCAAGTATGAATTTTTTTGGGTAAAACTTCTTCCACAAGTTGGACACATGAAAGACTTCTTCATTCCAAGATGTTCTGACTTCACATGAGCTGTCAATACATACTTTGTGCTAAACACTTTATGGCATTCATCACATTCAAATTGAGGTTTAACATAGTTTTCCTCATGACTTAACATATGTTCTTTATATGCTCTGCTGAATTTATAAAATTTGTCACAGATCTTGCAATGATATGCTGGATTTGTATGTACATGTCTTGTGTGACGTAATAAATCTTTGTGTAAACCAAATTGTTTCTTACAGGTTTCACAGGAGAATTTACTTCTATGCATACGCTGAGTATGTTCCCTTAAGTTCTCTTTCTTCTTCCCTACATATTCACACTTGTCACATTTATATTCAGTATCATCAACAACTTTTGCAGCATTCTTAATCTTCGTCTTTCTTTTCTCTCTGCTCACATCCAATTCGTTTTCTTGTTTTTTTGGCCGTCCTTTTCCTTTCTTTACATCTAATATATTGGATTTTTTAGTTTTGACTTTCTTTTTTCCATCTTTTAAGGATTCTTGCTGCATAGGCTTTTTGAGCTTTGTTTTTTGCCTTGATTTTGAGATGGTTATTTCTTCATTGTCTGACAAGTTTCTTTCAACTTTTACTGTTACATTTGCATCCAGTTTACTAGATTCTGATGGCTTTGCATTTTGTGAATCAGAATTATCTAAATATTGCTCATCTATATCAGTGTCATCATCCATTGCAAAATTTTCATCAAACTCTTCCTTAATAGTAACATATTCCCCGTCATTGTTGCTGATTATGCAATCTTGATTTACATTGGAACTTTCATAATCTTTATTTTCAACATCTTGTTGACAATCAGTGTTTGCGGCATGGTCACTTTCCAATTCAGTACCAAAGTTTTCATTGCCTTTTGGGGATAACTCCCTGTCACTAATTACTACATTAGCATTACTTCCGTTCTTCTTCGGAGTATCAATATTAACTTGTAGACCTTGATCATTAAGATATTGAACATACGGTTCTGGAACTGCATTATATGCAGTTTTAGCAACGGTACAGCCAGGTTTTCTACCTCGCCTTCCTTCATTAAAGACAAAATTTTGACTTGAATTTAAACACAACTCATTATCTCTATTATCTTGTTTAGTTTTATGCTCTTTTTCAAAATATTCAACAAGTTTTGAATGAGCCTGTAACACTTTGTTCCAATCGCCAATTATTGAATATGATCTTTGAGCTTGGCTGACTTCAACACCAATATCTTGGCTTATTCTGAACAGCGCAAGAGCAAGCTTTTCTCCGGAGAAAATGGACACAAATTCAGAAGACAACACACTGGTCGTATCTGTGAATATAGGGACCATGATTGTTCTCAATCAAATTCGCTCAAATCATTTTGCAAATGCCTTTAAACATTAATTAAAGTTAATAAGAAAATTATATTAGTTTATTAGCCGGAAGTACATAGTCGATCATTTTTAATTAGTCCAAAGTCAGATATTAATGGTAAAGAAAATAACGCAAAGTGATATAAAGAGCAAAAAGTGTACGGCATCCTGCTTATCATTTAGAATGCAAAATAGAAAGTATTGTGGAACAATTGAACTTTTTTATAAATTTCTCTAATCTTATCAGCAAAATAAATTATTTCTACATGTTACTTACATGAAATTCATTTTAATCATGTGACTAAACACATTTAAATTTATAAAAATGAACTTGTTTAAATAATAAATTGATAAGCTAGCTTTTTGTGGTGATATGGCCAAGTGCTATTACCTTCTGACCATAAAATCAATTAGTCACGACTAACCCCCACACCAGATCGAAGGACTGTATGTCAAAGCAATCATTCTCTATCAGTCATACAAGCATTTTTTGGTCAAGGCCACAGTGACCTTTGACCAAATTATTTCAAAATTAATAGGGGTCATCTACAACCCTTGACCAACCTTCATACCAAGTCTAAAGAACAGTGGACCAAATTGTTCATACAATCTTTATAAGGTCAAGTCATGTATACCTTGGCCTATGCCCAACTTATCCCACAGATAGGATTGTTTACTTAGTTATGAGGTCATGACCAACCTCACATCCGAGTTTATGACTACAGGCTAAAGCACTCTAACTTATTTTTTGGACTAGAGTTTTGTCAAAGCTACAATGAACTTGACCTCAAAACTGATCATGGCTAATCTTCACACCAAACCTTAGGGCTTTAGACAAGAGTGCTTTTTATTTATTGATACTACAATCTTTTATCGGTCAAGGCCATAATGATTTTGACCCAGGACCAACTGCCCCCAAAATCAATAGGGTTTATTTTCTAGTAAGGTCCAACCTTTGTATAAAATCTTAGGACCGAAGGCCAAAACATTCTCTAGTTCTGTGTGTTTAGTATTGTTTACCCTCGTACCTCCTCATCCTTTCAATAGCTACTGCCTTACTGGTTGGACAAGCTTTTAAAGGTGAAAGCCATATTGACCACAATGATTGTCATGGCAAATCTTCTCACCAAATCTTAGAATTCTTAGAATTAACAATTATTTTCTCTAATTATTGGACCTACACTATTTTAGTAGTAAAAGGCACCTGACCTATGACCAACATACATCAAAATCAGAAGAAATATTCTGTCTAATCTTAAGACAAACTTATGTCCAGATATCTCTATCTATTGGTTTGACAGACATTTTGTGGTCATGATTACTATGACCTTTGACCAACTGCCTTAAAATAAAAAAGTGTCATCTACTAGCCATAAAACACCCTTGCACCAAATTTTAGGACTAGATCTAATAAGTTCTCTAGTTATTGGTCAAACAAGCTTTTTGTGATCAAGGTATATTTGATCTTTGATCAACTTACCTTAAAATCAATTTGGGTCATAGGCTAAAGCACTCTATTGTTAATTATTGAACAGTCACAATAATCTTGTCCTTTGACCATCAATGAATCATGACAAATATTTGGACTGTAAGCTGTGGGCTCTTCTAGTTATTTGTTCGACAAGTTTTTAGTGATAAAGGTCATGGTGACCTAGACCTGTCTTATCAACAAGGTTCATTCTACAAGTCATCACTAACCCTACACCATATTCTTGGAAGGTATCCCGAAGCTTCCTCCTATTATTTGTATGACAACTTTTTTATGGCCAAGGCAATGGTGTCCTTGACATTTGACCCTCTGACATCAGAATCAATAGTGGTAATCTACTAGTCAAGACCAACCTTCACACTCTTAGATCTTAGGCCTATTGGTCGAAACATTCTCTACATATTGGCCAGAAAAGATTTTTGCAAACAAGGCCAGTGACCTTTGACCAACTGACCTTAAACAATAATAGACATCTACCAGTCATGACCAATCTCTACACAAAAGGCCAAAGCATTCTCAAGTCATTGGCAGGGCAATGTGTGGCAGTCAGACCGACAGACTAAATGTCACTGACAATGTGAAAAGCACTTCCCTGTGAGGGGGTAGGGAGGGGGGCATAATAAAAACAACTCTCTCTTGTTGTGTATGTGATATATTTTCAAAGTCAAGCACACAAATAATTTATTACCTTCTAACTGGTCGAGACTTCAAGTGCTCCAAGACTATTTTATCTATTGGAACATCCATATTAAAAATGCAACAAAAATCATTTCATTTAAAAAATATCTAAAAGTATTGCAAAATACAATAGATTGCATGGAAAAACATATGAAAGTATCAACTCATAATACAATGTAAATCATCTTAAAAACATAATAAATTAATAATTAAAGACCTTCCATGACACTATGTTCTCTACTGGTATAATTATGGAAGTTAATGTGATTTAACTATTTATGGTAGCCCATTACAAACAAGCAATTATCATAGTATTGCAAGCAATCCATAAGTCCCCTACCGGTTAGAACCCCAGCAACATTCTGATGGGCCATTGGCCAGTCAATTTTACCTGTGAATGAATGACATGAATGAACTTTTGAGTTCTAAGTTTGTCTATATCACAGTAATGTGTAAAGTTTCCCTGCCTAGTAAGGAAATTATGTTTATACAACCTTGTCATATTATTATGATGTGGGATTTTGAAGTAAATCCTATAAGGAATGAAGAAGTTGGAGTGAATAATACAAATTTCTTGAAAAAAATCTAAGTTCAAGGGGGACATAATTCTGGAAAAAGTCTTGCTAGAGTATTTAACCTTCTCAAAAATGTTGAGTGACAATAAGAAACATATATATGAAGTTTGAAGTAGATACATTAGGAAATAAAGAAGTTATTTAAAAAAGACGACATTTTTTTTCATAAAAATTCTAAGTTCAAGGGAGGTAATACTGATATCTTTTGTGCTAGAGTTGTAAACCTTGTCACATATGTGGTTGATGATCAGAAACTTACATTTAAAGTTTGAAGTAACACCTTAAGAAATAAAGAACTTATAGTGAAAAAGCTGAAAAATTTAAATCAGAAATCTTGAAATTCAGGCTATTTGTTGCCATAGCAACCAGAATTTTCAACATAGGAAGAAAAGAAAAAGATGTGCATAATCTCCAGACTGCCATCAATCCATATATCAAGTTTCATAAAAATATTTTCAGTACTTTTTGCGTTATCGCGGGATCCAGTTTTGTGGATGGACGGACTGACAGACGGAAGTTCTCACAGGACAGTAATTATGTGGCTACTCTATTGTTCTCTCTATTGTTCTTTTTAGCCACACAAAAGAAAATAGCCACATAAAAGCATTACGGAATGAATGACATCAAAGAGAAAGAACAGTTACCTATTGTCCCTCTAGCCACATAATTACTCTCCTGTGAGTGCGGACAGACAGACGGACGGTAAACCTAAAGTCCCCTCCCGTTAAACCGGTAGGGGACTAATAAGGTAAATCAATTAAATAATACAGTATAAAATAGTGAAAATGTAAATCTAGTCAGACTAACCAGAAAACTCATGTAAAAAGCCTCTAGAGTTTGAAATTATTTTTTGTCCAAAAGATTGCAGTATTTGAAATGAAACATAACACATTTGCAAACTGATGACCCATGTTTGAACTCATCTGATCAGTCTAGTAAATCGACTGTTAATAAAATAATTTAAAACACTAAGCTGTGCCACGCCTGACCAATTTAATTTTGTAAATACATACTAATAAACTTTAACCTATACTTATTTTACTTTTTGAGAAAATTTTCTTAATTAGAATTGTACTGAATGGCAGATACACCAGGAAATCACAATAAGCTCACCTTTTAACACATTATCCTAAAGAAAGATAAAAATAAGTTTGCATAGTAAATATCAGTAACAAACTGACATTAACAACATCTTGAATGGTTAAAGAAATTTCCAAGTGTTAAAGTCAAGTCTTTTTTTCTATGCAATGCATTATGAATACAACTCGACTCAAAATGTGGCTGTCTTTTTATTCAATAGTTTATTCTTATGACAAAAATTCTAAGAAAATATAACAAAAACATGACCAAGTGTTTCATAAGTAGTTCCTTAGTATCTTGTCCAAAGATATAGAAAACAGAAGACAGTATTTATGGGAGGAAATAATGTCTTCATAAAGCCAACATAAAAATTTGTGCATAAGTTATGCATATAAACAACATGTATATTCTACAAACAAAAAGTTTATTATATATTACTAAAAATAATCAAATCACAACATTGAACAAACAAATACATGTATTTTAAACTTCATAAAAATTTGCAAAAGTTTATTTTACATATTGCAGCTTTTTAGATCTATATTTAATATGAATTTTTAAATAAAAAAAAAACATAGCTTTATCATATAAATGTATTTACATTAAAAAGCCAATATAGAGAGGGACTTGGTATTTCTCAACAAAATTTCTCAACAAAATTTCACATCTAAATTGACAATACAAATCAATTTCACCCAGAACAAAAACTTATATAAACCTGTAGGAAGTCATTCTTATTATACTGACAATATGAATTATAGCACATAGCAACTAAGTGTATTATACCTTTTCTAAAGAATAAAGGTTATATATGATCTATCAATACCCTTATTTATCAATGATGGATAATATCTTCGTTGAGGAGACAAACAAAAATCACCTGTTGCAATGAACTTTGATAACAATCTTTATGAATTTAACCCTCTCCCATTACAGGCATAGCTTAAAGGGATACATAGGCAAATGAATGAGACATACATTAAATTGATCATATTTACTCAAATCAAATTTTAATAGAAAATTCTAAAATTCCAAGCATGTTACTCACTTATTATCTTACATGTTGCTCTACAATTTATGATTCTATGACTAAGAAATTTCATTTTTTCCCCCTAAAATATTAATATGTGAAGATAATGCCATTTAAGACCCAAGGCCTTGATATACCAAAAAATGTATATATGATAATGTTTACTAGACAATTATGCATACAAAATACCTTAGGTTTTGATGTTCAGGCTTAATAAACTTGCCAGTAGATACTGTTGAAAAAGACAACTGAGGTGTTCATAAAATACAGTTTCAAACATAAATTTCTTCTATATTCATACATCATCATTCATTATTGAATGTGATCTATCTACTTCAATTTTACATTTGATTAAAAAACAGTTACACACCTACCTTTCCTTTCAATTAATTAATAAATTCTACACACAAAAAATAAATATTGCCGAGAGAAAACATAATCTATGACTGGCTACTGTAATTGAGATTTTGTAGAGTAGTAAGCTGCCCAGGCATCTGATCATTGTCCTGTTTCTGTTCAGGTAAAGTTTGTCCCTGCCAAAACTCGATCTGTTTTCTCGGATCAGGAATATTATCACCATGAAAGAACTCGCTATGTCTACTGGCATCAAGAGGGATACCAGCAGGCCAGTAATCAGTTGGCCTTTTAAGTTCTATTAACTCCTCAATCCTTATCTGTTCAGATTGTCTACCACTTTCCCCAGTACCTTGATGCCACACTTCACTAGGCCTAGCTGGGTCAACATATCCGTCTCCTCGCCAGAACTCGTTCTTCTTTTGCTCAGTATTAACTTCCTCACTACCGTGATCCATGTTAACAGATCTGTTATGATTATACTCATCTGGAGTAATTGGATGTAAGTTATTCAAAGAACGGTGGTTATGATCATTTCTGTTTAAATCCTCTGAATTCATTTCACTGTAGCTGCCTTGGCTTATATCAGTAAAACTATTTTCTCGTGAGAAATGAACACCATTATTTTGACTAGTTTCTTGCATATTTGTCTCACAGTTCTGTATGTCTGTGACCTGTTTAGAACTGGTGTTTTGAGCTAATGTTTCTTCCTTCATATGTCTTTCCCTATCTGCCTTTCTTCGGAAGTCTGGTTCTCTTTTGGGCTCCGATGTAAGATCACCCTGCCACATATCACTTTGTTTCTTAAGATCAGAAATAACATCTCCCTGCCAATCATGAGGATCACTTTTATGCACGAGAATCATGTGTTTTCTAATAGTAGCACTGTCAGTGAAAACTCGTGAGCACAGCCCACAAGAAAATGGTTTGTAGCCACTGTGAATACGTTCATGTCGGATCAAAGACTGTTTCTGAATAAAACCTGAAATTAAAACAAAATTGTGATTTTTGATCTTTGAAGAAAAACAAGAGCTGTCACCCAAGTGACAAATGCCCTCGAAAAGGTTTCTTAAGCATGCAGGTATTATGAAAAGAAAAGAGAATGAAAGTAACTAATTGCTTGACATTGTTCTTTTTTTTTTTTTTTTTTTTTGGTTTTACGTCACATCGACACAGTATAGACATATCGCGACGTTCCAGCTTTACTGGTGGAGGAAGACCTCAGATGTTCTTTCAGAGGAAGACCTCAGATGCCCTTCCGTGCATTATTTCAGGCTCGAACGGGCACCTGAGTAGAACCACCGACGTTCCGTAAGCTAGCTGGATAGCTTCCTCACATGAAAGAATCCAAAGTCCCTGTCGGGATTCGAACCCACAGCGGTGAGGGGCAAGTTGTTTGAAGTCAATATTGTTCTTTGTATTATTGTACATTGTACCTGTAATCTCTTATTGTGGTAGCCTGAACCTTCAAAACATAAGTGTGACCTTGGCCTTTGAAGAAGGGACATGGTTCCTGGACTTGACAGAATGTTGCTACGAGATAAACATTTGAGCCAAGTTATTTCAAAATCCCTCAATGCATGACAAAGTTACAGTCTGTACATAATTGATGTATACATGTAACTGGGGAAACACGGAGGGTCAGACGGACATGAGCCTTAGCCGCAACACATTGTCTTGATGTGGTACACATTTGTGCCTAGTTATTTTAAAATCCTTCCATGCATGACAAAGTTACAGTCCGGACATGAATGTGTTTTATTTTCAAACTATAAGTGTGACCTTGACCTTGAAGGTAGGGACATGGGTCTTAGTCGCGACGTGTCGTCTTGATGTGGTAGACATTTATGCCTAGTTATTTTAAATCCTTCAATGCATGACAAAGTTACAGTCCGGACACGAATGTGTGTACCTATAAACTCTTATTGTGTTAAAGAGAACTTCAAGATGGTAGTGCAGTGTTTTTTTCCACTTTTTGGGGAAGGGGGTCGGTGCCCAAATGCAATAGGAGGGGGATTTTTATACGGGTCTAAAATATTGATGCGTCACATGTTAAACTTGTTTGGACACCTGGAGTAGCTCCCCTCACCTACATGAGAACGATTTGTAAACAACCTTGCTTAACAGTAAGTCTTACAGGCATAAAATAAAGCATTTTTCGGCAGTAAGTTGCAAAAAAATGATATTCATTTCAGGCAAATTCAGGCTGCCATATTATAGGGGGAAATTTCGGCTTTAAGGGGGAATTGGGTCGAATTTGGTCGAATATTTTGGTGAAAAAAACCACTGTAGTGTGACCTTGACCTTTGATGTAGGGACTTGATTATTGGACACAACACATCGTCTTGATGTGGTAGGCATTTATGCCAAATTATTCTAAAATCCTTTCATGCATGACAAAGTTACAATTCGGACACAAATGTCTGTACCTATAAATACTTATTGAGATAAGTGAAACTTCAAAATGCTAGTGTGACCTTGACCTTTGAGGTAGGGATGTGATTATTGAAAGCGACACATTGTCTTTATGTGGAAGACATTTATGCCAAGTTATTCTAAAATCCTTCCATGCATGACAAAGTTACAGCCTGAACACAATTGTATGTACCTATTAATTCTAATTGTGATACTGTGAAACTTTAAAATGTAAGTGTGACCTTGACCTTTGAGATAAGGAGTAATTCTTGGACGCAACACATCGTCTTGATGTGGTAGACATATATGCCTAGTTATTTTAAAATCATTCGATGCATGACAAAGTAACAGTCCGGACACAAATGTGTGTAACTATTTACTCTTATTGCGATAATGTGAAACTTCAAAATGATAGTGTGACCTTGACCTTTGAGATAGGGACGTGGTTCTTGAAAGCGACACATTGTCTTGATGTGGTAGACATTTGTGCCAAGTTTTTTCAAAATCCCTCGATGTATGACAAAATTACAGTCCAGACACGAATGAAGAAGGGATGCACAGACGGACGGACGGTGCGATTTTAATATGCCTCCATTCAGGGGCATAAAAATTGAGTAAGATTATCTATCCTTCTGAAATAAATTCATTTTTTATTTGTCAGTGAACATGTGAATCAAGATAAAAGTCAAAAGTTTTCATAGTTTATGAGAAAATAGATCATAACAAAAAGGCAGTCATCGAATTTAGCACTGGTCCGGTGGCCCATGGCCAGTGAAAATAAGTTTGGGACATACATTGCCAAAATTCAAGGGCTTTTAAAGCACTGTCGCATGTTTTCCCATTTTTCAAGCACATTTGTTCACATAAATCAACACAATCTTCAACCTAAGTATGATAGTTTATTCTCCATTGTTGGTTTTCTGGCCACAATTTTAAGGTTTTATGGAAGAACAACAAAGGGTGCAATAAAATTAAATACAAATTAGTTCAAAACAACTGCAGTTACGTTCAGCAAACATTTCATTGATTTTGATACTAAATTTGATCATTTTTTGATATTGTTATCTGTTGAAATTTATCGACACTATGTCATTCAATCATTTTCAAACACATTTTCAGCAAGCACCTTTTAAAGGGACTCTACTGAGGTTTAAAAGCCAAAAACATAACATTAGAATTTCCTACCTAAATGAACTGGGGCGCTTTAAACAGAAATATATGCAAAGATAGTTAAGAAATATACTTTAAAATATTTAAAATCGAAAATCGTAATTTTATGCTTTTCTGCTTTTCATTTTGGGTCATTTTGTTACAATTTGAATAATTATTATGGAAAAACGAAGTGCGCGAATGATCTGAAAGTTTGCACAAAGATTCGTGATCTACACCTACATCAAATGGTACATTTATCTGGAAAAAAATATTTTCAGTCCCATCATGTCAAAAAACCTCAGTGCCCTTCACAATGTAAGTACTTTTCAAGAGAGTAATCAAATTCAAGGACTTGTACGCATTTTTTTTTAGATTTTAATGCACTTTTTAAGAAAGAGACTCAAATTTAAGCACTTTTTAATTCTTAAAGACTGTACGAACCCTGGTTATAAACAATTACTATAAATACAAACCTTTATTACACACTGAACATTTGAAATTTCGTTTGTCACCATGTATAGCAACATGAGCATTGAGAGCTGATGATGTCTTAAATGACTTGGCACAAACATGGCAGTGAAACTCCCTAGTGTCCCTATGTGTTATTTGGTGCTCCTTTACTGAGTGCTCACTAGCAAAGGCTTTTCCTGTAATATTGAAGACAATATTCATGCATAAAATTGCTTAAAATATTAACACAGATTATGTAAAAGTTATGCAGATAACTTATTGTTGCTTTATCTTTATAATGTAATTTACTGTTAGGTCAAAACAAATTTAATGGTGTTTTATGTGTAATATTTGTTCATTTTCCTTTTTTAAATGAACTGGTTTGGTTTTAAGTAAAGTAAACTTTTCAGATGGATGATCGATTTGTATGAAGACTGATGGTGCATGTTAAAATCTGACAAGTTCACAAAGGACCACAATTCACTCAAAATTCATGCCAGAATTATGGGCCTTATTGCGTAATAGTGACCTCTTTTAAAGATCTCAAGTGATTACGAACAAATAAGATTAATATAAAAATTGTATAAGAAGCTGCACATAAAACTTTAAACAAAGTGTTGTGCAGACACTCGCACCAATATCCAGTTGAGTAGGCTAAGGCGAGTTTCGGGGCACTATTCTTCACAGTCAAACTAAAAAAATATTAAAATAATAAAAACGATTCATTAGAAAATGTAAAATCTGTTTGGAAATTCAATAAAGTTTTGTCATCATGTTAACAAATGTGTTTATCAAACATAATTTAATTTTAATACCAACCACATATGTCACAGTTGTAAGGCATGAGGCCTGCATGTTTATTCATGTGACTCTGGTAACTGTATTTGTGGTAAAATTCAGCTCCACATGTTTGACACAAATACTTCTGTTTTTCTTTCTGCTTCATGCCTAAGTGTTTAATCTTTATATGGTTCTCCAATACCTGCTTTGCAGAGAAAGACTTTTCACAGTAAGTGCACGGAAACACTGATTTTACATACCCCTCTTCGTGAGATTTAAGATGTTCATCAAAACTTTTCTTTACTTTATAAGCCTTGCTACATATATGGCAAATATATGAGGCCTCTGCATGCACTTGTTCCCTGTGCCGTTTCAGGTCCCAGTTGTAGCCAAACTGTTTCTGACAGATATCACAAATAAACTTTTGACTATGATTGCGAATAATATGATACTCTAAATGTGATTCTTTCTTTCCTATATAGTTACACAAGTTGCAGGGAAATTCTGTCCTTCCATCCACAAAAGATTTAATTCTTGGCCTGCCACGATTTTTTCCTCTTTTCAAAGTAATTTTGACCAGATTATTTTCATGAATTATTTTCTCCTTATCTTCAGGGAAGAACAAATAGTCTGAGTCAAAATCTTGATCATTACTTTCATCCAAAATTTTTTCTGAACTTTTATCTGCCCCGTTTTCTACATTTGAACAATCATTAGATGCATCATCTGTTAAACATTTCTCTGCATTTGAATTTGCTTCATCACTTGGCAATGCATCATCAAGATCTTCTACTTCAAATAGTATGGAGGGATGTTTTAGTTTCATATGTTTACCAAACACAATTTTAGTACTGAATGACTTCTCACAGGTTTTGCAATGATACACATAGTTATCTGCATGCATTGACATGTGATCTTCAATATATGCTCTTGTTTTCAAGTACTTGTCACATATGTTACAATAATAATTTGCAGTTTTACTGTGCACTTCTATCTTATGACGATCTAAATCTGTTTTGTAACCATATTTTTTCCCACATACATCACATTTAAATGGACGGTGATGTTTCCTAGCCATGTGACTTTGCAACTGCTTTTCTTTTTTACCAATATAGTCACATTTATTGCATTTGTAGCTTTCTTTACTTACGCTGACACTACCTGATGAGCTTTTAAATCTTTTCACTGATTTTTCACATGACCTTAATCTTCGTTTGATTTCAGTTTTATCTTCGATATCAGTATCTTGATCAAAGTCTCCAGCTGCATTGCTGTCATTATTACTAAGACTACATGATGCAAGCCATTCACCAGCATCTTTTTCTTGTTTCACTGTAACACCGTTATAATCAGCATCCGAGGTAACTTCTCTGTCTGATTCATTTGGAGATTCTAGAGATTGTTTCTTGGAAGTTTCAATTTCATCAACTGCTGTCTTGACATCTTCTTTATCACTCTCTCCACCATCCTTTTCAAAAAGACATTGTTCTAATGAAATGTATGCTGTTACAAGGTCATGCCATTGTCCCTTTAGGAGTATGCAATCGTCTTCTTTTTCACACTTTACTCCAGGAATATTTTTGATCGTCAATTCCAAAAGATCCGATGATAGCTTTCGAAGCAATTCATCTGATACGCTTGTAGTTGTATTAGAAAAAATGGTAACCATATTTCTGGTTGTAATTAACGCATTATTTATCATGAAATTTCTGATTTTTTTGTTTTTGTTAAAATTTGCCTTGTTCTGTTATACCGGAACTTGTCTATTATTTCCATTTAGGAGAGTCAAAGGTTGAACATTACTAAATGATTTCCTTCAACATTATAATTGCATATTACGTATGGAGCTTAATGTGCAATTATCAAACACTTTTTTAAAGTTTACCTTGATTTTCATGAATTTTATGACTAAGGCCTACTATGTTTCTTTAGTTTACAATGAATGTTTCCTCTGTCTTCATGGACGCCCAGTAACTAATTTTATTTCACAGTTTCCCAAATATAATATTCTCAAATCAAACAGGGTACTTCCCTCACTTTATTTCCCCCTTAACAAGTAATTAAATTTTAAAACTAATTAATACTTTATAATATACTAGTAGTTATATAAAACGTACATACAATATAATGACAACAATAAAAGTAAAAAAGTTCAAATAATTATATTTCTTACATGTTTGACTAAAACATATCACTATGCATTATTGAAAATGACACCTACGTCAACATTTATTCAGAACATAAAGCCCCCGCCCCAGTGGCATATATATCATTGTAAACAGTTAACCCCAAAAATATAATACTCTTTAAATATACCTGCAGTCAACAAGAAATGCAAGGTGTAATTAAAGAACATTTTTTCAATGTAAACATATATTTTATGAAGTAGTGTTCGATTTGCATTTTGATTTTAATTGTCATCAGTACTTTCCAGAGGAATGTGAACTTACTTTTGCATATACATATCATTCAGCGAGAAATAAAAATGGTAAAAATTGATAACTTGGAAAGTATCCCCCCCCCCCCATTCTCCCATTTTTGACCAACCACACCCCGTTTCACCCTTACAGCCCTTGTCCCTTTAATTCCCAAACGGGGTCATTTTAGTAGTATTATTTCACACATAACGTGTCCCTCTCCTCCTTTCGTCACCCTTATGTCCACTCCCGGGTTTGGTTTGGTGCCTTCTGGGTGCCCAGCTGTGGTAGCTAGGGTGTGTCGGGTGCAGCTTCCTGTGAACGTTGCCTTTGCCATGTTGATCTTTATTCTCGTTTTTTAACTTTCGCAACCAGAAACGAACCATATGCTTGTCCTTAATATGCTTAAAAATATGCTTGTGAGTTTCCACTTGTGGTGTATTTTATTTTAAAAAACTACTATTTAAAAACCTGCAAACAAATGTACTTATTTCCCCATGGTCATACAGTATATATGTAGAACAATATCTTATATATACATGTATATTTAAGACTGACCTGAAAGTTATTTTAATCGATGGTCACAATTATACGTTAAACATCATGCTAAATTTTCAAAATCAAGTTGTTGTTATCAATATTTCTTTAAATCATTTTAAAAAATGAAATAGAAATAAAGCAAGTTCCATGTAAATTTATTATCAGTAAGTTATGCCCTAGTTACTTATGATCTCTATTTCAACCTACTGAAGATTATTTCATACTCGAGTCACTTGAGTGTACCTTATGTATATAACTGAGACAACCAGATTAGAAGGAAAATGTATTAGTGACTGATTTACGCTCCTTTTGCAGCTTTGTGGATACACTCCTTTTTAATTACCGTTTCATTTTTTCTAAGATTACCGTTTCATTGTTTCTAAGAAAGTGAACGATAGTGAAATATTCGGCCGATGCGCAGGAGAGTATGACCAATTAAAGTCCCTCAGCAGTCACCGATGAACATGCATGCATATCAACCAACTTCCAAACAATCATTAGCCGCACTTATGAAATAAAACAAATTTGCGATATAAATATACACATGCTCCTATGTTCATTATCATAGTCTTAAATTATCAGATGGCTACTAGAACAACCGTTTTAAGGTCAGACACCTACATTGCTTTTCCCATAGACTTACATTATAAGAAATGGCCACTATAATCCTACCTTCATGCTAAAGAGGTGATACAGTACACTTTTTTATAAATGCAAAATCCAAGTCACGAATTATCATACGGACTTATGAAATATTTCATTTTCTTCAGAAAATAATATATGATAGTTTTAGTTTCTAAAATGGTTATCATACTTAAAAACACCCTATTTTCATCCAATCACCTCGATCATTTCGTATCTTACGGTTTTCCCTGCCAATCGCAGGTCATGTTACCATGCGAGAGCCTGACCTTAGTACGGAATTAGCGTTATACCTGCCAATGGTCCGAACTGTCCAAAAATCTGGTCCGAAATGTCCCTAAATATGGTCCGAAGTGTCCCAAAATCTGGTCCGAAATGTCTGGTCCGAAACGTCCATGGTCCGAAATGTCCTATTACCTGCCAAATTCATAGCGCCACCTATCGTGTATGTCAAAATTACAAATGTAAACATGAACAGATTTCAGTGGGGTGAAACAACTGCAGATCATGGTGAAATTCATGTAACAAGTCAGACTGGTGTTGCTTTATATGACGGGGAAGAAAAAGTATATATTCACAAAGAAATACCACTTGTCTTTGAAACGATTACTATAATTATGTATACAATGTAAAAATTATTCGCCCTCAACATATCTCGTACCCAATAGGGATGACCCAAGGCGGTGCACATTTAAAGTATCACTCCCAAAAGGGGAATGAAAGGTGAAAATGTTTCTTTCATTGGATTGGAAAGTCTGTGGTATGAACAAAATCTTGGAATTGAAATGTTTGACATAATATTTTCCTTGTAATTTTATAACTATTCATCAGTTCATGTCGCTAGAAATATTTTAAAACACCCCTCTATGTTACAAGGAATTGATAAAGCTTCACCCTCTGACAACCGCATAACAACTCGCCCCACTTAAATGTTGATTTGCTCCAGACTAGTGACAATTCGCCCCACTTCAAAATAATCATTTTAAACATTGAAATTATTAAAATTATAAAACTTTTAAGTTATCAATATTGTCAGTGGAGATGAATTGTTATATCACCATTATATGCTGTAAAAACCGCCTCTGTGGTCGAGGAGTTAGAGTCGATGACTTCTAATTCAGTTACCTCTCTGGCGTGGGTTCGATCCCTTGGAGATGCTTTGGTAGTTTAGCGCGGAGGAAGGTAGTCTAGTACTGGTGTAACTCTCCAGGAACAATGGTTAGGAAACTACCCGCCTATATGACTGAAATACTGTTGGGAAAAGGCGTAAAATGAAACAAACAAACAAAATATGCTGTAAACAACTTCAAAGCAAATCTAATGACCCCACAATTTAAGAAAAATATTGATTTATAAATTGTAGCAAGTGGTATTGGACCAAAAATTAGTCAAATGGGCCCTAGAATAAGTCATGTCTGCTCCATCCGTACACTGTTACTACAAATCCAAATCAGTCCAATTAAAATTATAATTTGTCTTGGAAAAAAATAGAATAAGATTAAGGAAATTTTGATTAAAAATGTAGGTACCCTACTTGAAATAGCAGAACAATACATGTATTTTGTTTTGAAACATTTTGTTCTGTTTATGTATAATATAAAGAGTGAGACTAAAAAAAGGATTGGAGCACCACACTAAATACCGCATTCCGGTATATAATGGACTGGTGCTTGATTGATGAAATGCTAAAATCATGCCTTTTTACCCAACGGAATGAACTTTAAAAGGTCTAATTCATCTTTTCACACCATTTGATGTATGATAATGAATGAAAACTGTAATAATCAGCAAAAAAACTATTTTTGTCTATTTTGTAATCATGATTTCCGCAAGCTTCAGAGGTACTGCTCCAATCCTGTAATGAGTTAAATCCAAATATTAATGTGTGTTACAACTCTTTTATACTATTTTATTATCTTTCTTCACAAATGTGCTTTGTCTTGTTACAGACAAGTTTTGCTGGTGGTGTTTTAAGCCTTACAAGTCACAGATTACTATGGAGAGACAATCATGCAAAGGTATGTAAACTTATGCCAACAAAAAGTCACTTGTTGTTTTAACAATTTTTAATAATGGAAAATGGTTTGCGGTGTAGCTCTGTAAATATTTCCTTCCAAAGATGATTATCAAATTTTAACAATACTCAGATGAAGAGATAGCCTCAGGCTCAACAACACTCAATCACTGTTGTTGTTTTTTTGCAATTTCATAATTATGTTTGTGCATTTAAAATTTTTACCCACCTAAACAAACTTTTCTGTCTTTATATATCCCAATCTTTTTATCTCACAGCCTTTTCTTTATGTTTCCTTGTCATTTGGCCTGCCAAATCTGATCAAATATTAAAAATTGGTCATGGCATTGTTATTTACAGTTTTATAATTTTTATCAGCATCAACAAGTTAATTATGTCTCCCCCACCTCGGGGGGAGACATATTGTTTTTGCCCTGTCCGTCCGTCAGTCCGTCCGTCCGTCAGTCCGTCCATTCTTCGTTTCCGGACGATAACTAGAGTTCCTTTTGACCTACAGCCCTCAAACTTCATAGGATGATTGGTCTTATAGAGCTGATGATCCCTATTGTTTTTGGGGTCAGTAGGTCAAAGGTCAAGGTCACACTGACCGTTGGTCAATTTCTCGTTTCCGGATGATAACTAGAGTTCCTTTAGACCTACAGACCTCAAACTTCATAGGATGATTGGTCTTATTGAGCAGATGATCCCTATTGTTTTTGGGGTCAGTAGTTCAAAGGTCAAGGTCACAGTGGACCGTTGGTCAATTTCTCGTTTCCGGATGATAACTAGAGTTCCTTTTGACCTACAGCCCTCAAACTTCATAGGATGATTGTCTTATAGAGCAGATGATCCCTATTGTTTTTGGGGTCAGTAGGTCAAAGGTCAAGGTCACAGTGACCGTTGGTCAATTTCTCATTTCCGGATGATAACTAGAGTTCCTTTTGACCTACAACCCTCAAACTTCATAGGATGATTGGTCTTATTAATCAAATGATCCCTATTGTTTTAATGGTCAGTAGGTCAAAGGTCAAGGTCACAGCGACCGTTGGTTAATTTCTCCTTTCCGGATGATAACTAGAGTTCCTTTAGACCTACAACCCTCAAACTTCATAGGATGATTGGTCTTATTGAGCAGATGATCCCTCTTGTTTATGGGGTCAGTAGGTCAAAGGTTAAGGTCACAGTGACCATTGGTCATTTTCTCATTTCCGGATTTCTCCATTTCCATTCCTGTTTCCATTCACAGTTATTCTCAGCAGTGGGGGAGACATGTGCTTTTTTACAAAAGCATCCTCTAGTTTAAGACACAGCCCTGGGTATCTGGAATACATGATAGAAATGAAAAAAAAACACCATAATTATGTTAACGAATTTTTCCTACTTGAAACATGACAGTACTTGTTTCAGTTAATATATACAAACACAGTATCTGTATGGTACATATTGTATACCCATCCTTTGATATGTAGTTCATGTTAAATTCCTTTCCCCTCACAATTAACTAACATTAGTAACTATAATTTCAGACATCTGCATTATGTCTACCACTTCAGCTTGTTGTGTTTTTAGAAGAACAACCATCAGGATTTGCTAAGAGGTAATAATGTACAGAAATATATTTCAGATCTTTGTTATTATAAACTTTGTTATTTAAATATTTTAATTTGTTTATGAAGGAAGTTGTTAGCTGATTTAAATTACTTAAAAGTGGACACACAATGATTACTTAAAAATGAACAAACCAATGAAGCGACATACATTACATATGACCTAAAAAGGGCTTGGACCCACAATCTTTTGGTTGAAGGACAAGTATTGTATCTGACACTAAGGCCACCAGTGAAACAAATCTTGAGTTGACCCGCCTGTTAAACCTTCCACTGCTGGAATCAAAAGTGACTACCCTTTGCCACCAGTATAGAGTCAGATTTACCAGATTATAGACCAGGCTCTAAACTGTTGACTGATCAACTGAAAATTCTCATTTTGATATCCCAGAAATAATAATGGAAGCAGGACAAATTGATTTAGAAATTTAGCAGGTTAAGGGTTAATTGATTATATCTTTATACTAAATAGTCTATAGTATGTCTATACATAGTCTTGAATTAAATACTGAGCATTTTGATTTTCAGTGCAAAGATAGTTGTTCATCTACAAGAACCTTTACCAGGTCAGCCTTCAGGGCCGGTATCTTACAGTAAACATAACTATATAAGATTGTCCTTCAGAGACAGCGGGGAGTCAGAGGTAAATCTTGATTAGCAATAAATTTGAAATTATGGGTGTCATGGTTACCAAAAATGATATGATGTTTAAACGGCAACCTTATAACCATGTTAAATATTTAACAGATGGTAGTAATAAATTTCTTTGATTTTCAACATTAACTTTGTATTTTCATGACAAGATAAGAGATTTTATTAGTATCTTGTTGTATTCAACAAAGATTACAATAGAAGTGTGATTATAAAGTAACTATTTTCTGTAAGGTCATTACCGTACATAATCAGATAGCATGCAATCGGAGAAAACAACTGAAATACAAATAGAATGTCATAATTTGTAATTACAAACTAAGGTATTGTTAAGAATGTTTTTAAAATCGACACTTTGTCTCTAATACTCACCTTGATTGCCTGTTATTTATTTTCCAGCTAAAAACCAACCGGTCCCATTTAAATGGATAAACCTGACACCCCTATTTGAAATAAATCTATGTTTGATATCAATGTGGAAAGTTCCATTTTTTTCTTGTCATTTAAATTTGATTGAATATAGGTAGAACATTACCATTTTGAAAATGGATTATAATCAGTGCTGATATTACTTTTCTGTTTTCATATTTAGATTTCATAAAACATTGTTTGTTTTTTGTGCCAGTTTTTCAGATATTTAAACCAGATGTTAAAGGAGAAGAAATGGGAAGAGAAAGTGCTCCCACCAGCAAGAGCTGGAGCTCAGGTAAAAATACATCAGATTTAGTTTTCCTTCAATAATCTTCAATTTTTATAGCATTATATCAATTTTTTCTTAGGCATTAAAGTTTTTTTTTCTTCAGAAGTAAAAATAAATTAAGTGTCTTATTCAAGTAAACTGCTCATTGAGCATGTTTTTTTTTAACATACTTTTATTTTTATAAAGTTTGTTCTAATGAGATAATGTTCAATAAATTTTCAACTTTTAGGTTAAATAAATATAACATTCTTCCGCATCCATTAATGCAGTGTTTACCTGATCAGATCAAGGTAATTAATACCTGCTTATTTTCCTATCCTCAAAGAATTTTGTTTACCTTTGAATGATAATAGATAAGAAATATTTTGTGACAGGGTGGCCGTCATCGTCCGGGTATTGTTGGAATTGAAAGATCTATACAACAGAAACATAAACAGACTGATTCTTCTATCAACCAATCATTTCAAGATCTGAAAAAACTCATGGAGAAGGTATGCATATATGTTTTGAAATATGTCTACATAGGGTTATTTTATGTCTACTGGGATCCTACATATTACCGGACAAAATATGATGTTTTTTCGTTGTAACTTTTATTTAAAATAATAGAAAAGAATGAAAATTTACCTAAATAATTGTGGGTTCTTAATATACGTAAACATTCCTTTATCAAACATAAAATTTAACTCTTTACCGTAGAAATGTGTCTTTAAAATAGGGCATTAAAAGAAGAAAAAAATCGTGCAGACAACTCAATTTACCGGACATTGTGTTTCAAAATATTTTGAAGTGTAAAATTGAAATTAAGCAAGGAAACTACGACTATTGAATGGCAATGTTAAGATACTGGAAAAAACCAGTATGTCACTAAAATAGACACGGCAGCCATGCTTGTTACGAAGAGGCCAATATAGGGGTGTAATTGAAATAAACACTATTAACTCAATTAACGTATTGATTCTTCATGATCCTTAAACGTATGACACCTTTTGATATTCAAATGGAATTCTGTTCTTTCTCATACAGTTTCCTTTTGATCATCATGTAGCATGTTACAAAAGTCATAACGTCTATTTTTTGTACATTTCATGTAGAGTTTTCTCCCATGTGCGTAATCCGTTTCCTTAAATGTTTTTTAATTTGCATTTCTTTTTTAAAAAACAACAACAAGATATTGTTTGAACAATATTTAAAATTATTTTTTTCCTTAAAATATGTTACGATTGTCTCCTTAGTTAACTTTGAGAAGAATTAAAAGTAAAATCTATCTAAAATAAGTTAAATAACCCATTAAAGGGATACTCAGGCAAAATAATGACAAAAATATAAAAAGGATCTTGTGTACTGAAATCACACTCAAATGACATTTCTTAAAGTCCCAGCATGAATTTCTGTATAAATTCAATATATTTTGGGTTTGAAGCTTAAATATTTCTATATATGTTGAACGAAATTTAGACGCCAACAGACTCAGCGAGTAGTTTAAAAACAAGTCATGTGATTTGAACAAACCCTGTAAGTTACAATAACAGGTATTGTGGATATTGTATGATTGAAACAAATCTAAGTAATTGATTTGACATGTTTTTTAACGTTTCCAGAGTACACAGTGACATCTATTGTGAAATCTTAGCGCTCTAACCTGACCCATGGGGTCAAGTTAGGAAAACACCATTTTATTCTTTATATAGAGAAAAGTTTTGTTCCTTTGACTGTTTAGTGTATTCATTTTGATGACATTTACAGAATAATGAATGAAAAATTCAAAACTAAGAAATGAAAATTTGCCTGTGTCTCCCTTTAAGGGCCTTAATATTCGGGAATGCGCAGAACAGATTATTCCCCCGCATGACCAGGTCATGGAATTACTAGTAAACTAAAGGGTATGTTAGTAAATAAAGAACTGAATCAACAATATTTGCCTGAGAGTGGTTTTGTTGTTAATTACTTTGCAGTAGAAAGTGTGTGTATGATTCAGACCAGATGATTTTTGAATTGAAGCAAAAAATAAAGCCTTATTTGACAGGAATAGATTTTGTCCGGTAAACTGATTGTCCGGTAAACATGTAGGATCCCAGTAACTATCTCAACAAATTATATAGCAGATAATAATATATAATTACAGACTTTTGATTCATTATTATGACAGTAAGGATCATCACAGTGTGATTAAGGTAGAAGGCTTAGAATGTTTTGCCACTCATAGATTGTTTAGAAACTTACAAGGGACTGAAGTCTGTTGGGTTTTGAAAATACCTTAAGTTATGCACTGACTGACACATGACAATGACAATGACAATGAGTTTATTAGTAATTTAAGGCCTTCAGCCCAAAATACATTCAGAATTTTAATTTAACAAAGAGTGAGATATAAATATATATAATAGACATAGTTATGAGTATATTTACAATTAATTAGTTTAATGGTAATTGAATATTTAAGTTGAAATAAAGGTAATATTAATTAAACATATAATGTACAAATGCCAATATGATTAATATCAGTGTTGAAGAGGTAACTATTAATTTATATATAATATTTAAACATAAAGGTAATTGGTTACATAGAGAAACGGTCGTTTCAACAAATTCATGGCACATAAATAAATTAAAAGCATTACAATATATATGTTTAAATGTGTTCAGTTATTTGAAGTTTTCTTAAACTATTTGCTTCATAGATAAATTTTGCCAGTTTTCTAATATTGTCTTTCGCTGTTTCTGACATTATAGTATTAAAGCGTTCATTACTGTTTAGAATCACATTCCAATTACAAAAGTTTAAGTGTTTGTGTCTAAGGTCGTTGTACAGCTGACAGTCAATCAAAAAATGCACTTCATTTTCCACAACATACGCATTACGTTTAAGACAAAATGAACAAAATCTAAATTCTCTGTCAATATTTAAGTGCCTTCCTGTTTCAATTTTCAAGTCATGGGCACTGCATCTAAAATTTGCTAATGCGCGTTTATATTTATAAGGCATACTCAGTGACAAATAACATTCGTCAGAAATAGATGTTTTATAAATTCTGTAACTAATTGCTTTAGGCGATGAATTAATGTCCGACATTATCTCTTGTCTACAGCAGTCTGAGACTCGTGTCCTAAATACTTGCATGAATGTAACAACATTTCCGACTCCGTTCGCTGTCCATGCGTAACCAAGGCCTAATTGAAATAACATGCGTTTAACATGAGTTGCCCATGTGATTCGTCCTTGTTCATCTAAGTTTCTAAGCATAATATAGCATTGTCTTGGTAACCGATATTGTGGCATTTCCGTTAATTTCAGCCAGTACTTAACACATTTAGACATATATGTTACACTAATTGGAAGGCGTCCGCATTCACTAAGGGCGAAGAAACTTGCAACGTTTTGATTTAAACATGCTATCCTTTTGCAAAATGATATATGCACCTTTTCGATCTGTCGACATGTGTTATATCCCCAAATCTCTGATGAGTAAGTCAAAATGGGTTTTACCATAGCATCGAATAGTTTGAAAGCATCATTAACACTAAAATAACCAAAATGTTTCTGATAAGCATAAATAACATTAACAGCCTTGGTCGCCTGTATGGCTAGTACATCTTTCGTTTTAGTCCATGAGAGTTTCGGGGTAAAGTATGCTCCTAGGTATTTGTAACAATTGACAACTTCTATTTCATTTTCATTATACATCCAATGCTCATATTGTCTCAGTGGGCCGCCATTTCTGAAAACGATTATCTTAGATTTTTTCAAAGGTTTATACACATCCCAGTTTCAGCACAATAATTACTTATTTCATTTATTTGTCTTTGGAGATTTATAGCCGTGTCGGCAAAACTGGAGACATCATCAGCAAATAATAAACAATACAGCTCTCCTGTATGTTGTGAGATAGTGATTCCATTTTGACATTTATCATTTAAGTATTTCACAAGGTCATTTATGTATAGGTTAAAAAATGATTGATGACGTCACACAACCTTGTTTTGTTCCTTTGGCGCACTCAAAGAAATCAGTCAGCCCGTTCATCGTAGGTCCTGATACTTTTACACATGACCGAAGTTGAGAATAAATATTCCGGAATAACGTTAGAAATCTGCCTTCAGGGATATTCCCTTCCGTTCTAAGCTTTCCCATATTTTGAAATGTACACAATTGTCAAAGGCCTTAAGAAAGTCAACGTAAAACACATATAATCGTCCTCTTGATTTACTAATATATTTTTGTACTATAGATTGAAGATTAAAAATGTTATCAATAGTGGAATAATTACTCCTAAAACCAGCTTGGCATTCATCTATAATGTTATTCAGTTCTGCCCACTTGGTCAAACGATTTGCGAGGATTTTCATAAAAATTTTACTCAAGCTATTTCCTACAGAAATTGCCCTGTAATTATTCGGATCGGATTTATTTCCTTTCTTGTGTACTGGGGTAACAATGCTTTCTGCCCAGGTAGGTGGGAAATGTCCCGTATGTAGTATATTGTTGAATAATTTATTCAAGTATGGTATTGTTAAATATATAGTACTTTTGAACATTTCTATACATATTCCATCCACTCCTGTTGCGCAATTATTTTTCAAGGAATTAACACTTATCATGATTTCATCGTCTGTGACGTCACAATCAAGATCTGTGTCATCTATTCTATCATAAAGACTGTTGAATATATCTTGATTATTTAAAACTTGATTGTTTTCAGAAAATAGCTCACTTAAGTAGGAAACCCATGTGTTTCCATCGATCGGGATGTGTTCTTTTCGTTTTACATTTCCCGTAACAGTTTTAATACAACTCCAGAAAAAATTTGCATCATTTCGGTTGTTGATAAGTTCATCGCGCATCTTATTTTCATAGATTTGGCGCTTAATTTTACACATATTTTTAAAAGTTCGCTTATTTATCAAATATTCATCAAAGTCTGATTTATGTTGTGTTCGTCTAAATTTACGCAAACTGCTATATTTCAGTTGTTTCATCTTTGCACATTCCGAGTCCCACCAACGCGGTTGTTCATGATTTGCCTCCGGACTTCTGTTTTTACCTTTATATACTTTTAAAAGCATGTTTTTACCGGCGATTTTAAATAGGTCTATAAAAGTTGTACATGTGTTGTAGATATTTTCCTCTTGAATAATATCATTATAAAAGGTTTCAAATAATGGTGTGAATTTTTGAATAAATGTATCTCTGAGCGACTCTTTCCATTTATACGTTTGATGTTCATAAAGGTTCGGAAATGAGTGAAATTCCGTTGAATTCACGTTTATAGTATCAAGTAGAATTTCACAGGTAACCGGAAAATGATCTGATAAATCAAAGTCTTCAACACTAAAGTCTTCTATACGATCAAATATGTCGGTCGACGCAATAAAATAGTCAACAACACTCAATCCTCCATTTGCTGTACATGTAAAGTTCCCGGTTGTATCTCTAAATACATGGGCAGAAAGCATTGTCATAGAATTGTATTTCTTCACCTTAGTGCAGTATCAGGTCAACTCCTAGTAAAATTAATAAGAGTTAATCCATAACTGCACTAAGGTGAGGATTTGTGATAAAAACACTATACATCATTATATATGCAATGCATGTAATTATATGTAGGAGTAATAGCTGATTGGTAAAGGTGTCTTATTCTCAACCGAAGAATCATTGGTATAACTCCTGTACAATTTATCAGTATGTTACTTTATTATATAGGAGTAGACTTGCAAATAGAATATGAAAATTGCAAATAAACATGTCAACCAATTAAAACTTTTCTTTTTATATTGTATGATAATAGGCACAAGAAATGGTGACACTGTCAAAATCTATTGTGTCAAAGATAAAGGACAAACAGGGTGAAATTACAGAAGATGAGGTATGTATGAATATATTTTATATTTTCTGGACATTAAAGTTTTATATTTTCTGGACATTTTAGTTCGAGATATTTATCAATAACAGAGGAGAAATTCAAGTGATGAGAAAAACTGGACCTACTGAATTTAAAATTCTGTCTTTGAATATGATATCTTGTGAAGAAATATGCATTTATTCTGGTCAGAAAATATTGAAGGTGACATATTAATCTTTTATGCTTGAAATACAGTATCATACAGTTTTCAGGCATTAATTTTACCTTATGGTCTGAGTTTTTTTATTCTGCTGAAAGCATTCTTTTTCCATATAAATTTGTATTAAGTGATTGTTAACACAGGGTTTCATCAGGCTTTCTGACATTTTAACTTGCACCCATTTTGTATGACTTCAGACTTTGTTTTTTGATAGCTCTAATGGAACACATGCTGTATGACTTTGTTTTTTTATGATAGCTCTATTTTATTTTGCAGACTGTCAAGTTTAAAGCTTACCTGTTGAGTATGGGTATACCAAACCCAGTTACCAGGGAGACACATGGTACAGGGGATAAATATTACCAGGAATTAGCCAGGGAACTTGCTAAAGTGCTAGATCAGCCTATTAAAGTATGTGAACAATTGTACTTTCAGTTAGTTAAGAATAGTTTTAAATAGGTATATTTTTAGTCTATTTTCTGGGGTAACATTTTCCTAATGAGTTTGAGAATCCATTAGCCTCCCCCTGCAGTAGGGTTCAAACTTGTTGTTGATAGCTTGTGAGACAAACAATCATAGAACCAGCAATTTCCATGTTTCAGTCAAATTTAATGTTAATAACCAGATATTTTTCTTTTTTTCATTTGTTTGTTGATGTCAAATTACAACATGTCTGTGATATGAAGTTTCTAAACCTGTAAACTTATATGTTGTCATGAAAAGTCCCAATTAATGAATTTAAAATTATTGTACCATTATTTATTATGAAAACAGCCATGTTTTGAATATAAAAATTCATATAATAATGACATTATGTTTGTTGTAATAGGAGTGTGGAGGGATGATGACATTAACTGATGTCTACTGTCGTGTTAACAGAGCTAGAGGGATGGAGGTAATGTGTATATTCTATTTTATATTCTTTTTATCCCTTCAATAAGTGATGGATAGGCGAATTTTCATTAATTTCTCTAATGACCATATATTTCATTTATAAAGCTAAAGCTATCATACATGTATAGAGGAAAGCTATATTTTGTCATATAACAATGACAGTGAAACATAAGTAACCTTGACAAGTGACAATTTTCAGCATCAAATTTCTACATCTTTTTTTTTGTTGATATCATTTCAATGTCACAAAATGTTGAAGAAATGAAAGGAATTCTTTTCATAGAAGCTTAAGATATCCAATTTATGATTCAATTCTTCCTTTCAATCATGACAACAGACATTTCTTGTGTTATTGATAGTTTCCAGTCATATTAGATATAATTATGAGTGTATGAATGATTTTACTTCTCCAATTTCTTCACCCATAACCTGCTGAAGTTGTGTAATGGATTTGCCCTGCCTTGATTGAGGAACAGCCTATTTAGAGTTTAAGGGTTTTCAATAACAAAGTACCAAAAAAAATCAATGATACAGGTGCTTGTCAGACTGCATGGATTTGCAGGCTGGCCCGGCTCTACTGGTGGTAGGCTACACACTTCCAGTATGGTCAAAGGTTAAAAAAGAGCTAGGCAATTGATAAGGTTAATATAAGAGAGAAGTTGGGTACTGAACTTTGCTGATTGAAACTCAAAATAATTATTACATATATTTAAATATATTTGCATGTTTTTTAGTTATTGTCACCAGAAGATCTGCTGAATGCTTGTGAAATGTTTGAATACCTCAGATTGCCTGTAAGGTAAGTTAACCATTATCATGCTAAAATTACATAATACACTTAATGCTGTTCGTCTAAAACTTTGATTTTGTTCATTTTTTTTAAAGTGAAATATATTTCACAAAACTTGAAGCATGGATAGAGACGGCCAGTTTTGAGATTTTTTTGGATGTTTCATTGTACATCTATAAAATACCCAAAGTATGTTATTTTAATACACTTTACATTGTTATAGTCTTGTTTCATCATGCTCTTGTCTAAATTTAAACACCCATCAAATTTTCACTTACTTGTGTAATTTCAGGTTGCGGACATTTAATAGTGGTGTAAAAGTATTACAATCAGCTACACACAGTGAAGAAGAAATCATAAAGAAAACAACAAATTCTGTGAGTTTATTTGTATCTACTTTAGTTTTGGTGAAATATAATTAAATTTTTGAAAATCTGACATCATATGTCCAGACATATTTTGTTTCAGAGTGGGAAACTGCTAGGAAAACCAGTAGAGCTAGCACTATTCACAAGCATCCCTTAACTTAACAGGGATTTGATCCAGTGTTTGAAATTTCATATTACTTATACAGTACTTTCCTCTGATACAGATTATATAAAAATAATATTTTTTATTAATCTAAATTGATGATTTCATGCTTATATACTGGGGTCCTACATATTACCGGACAAAATATGAAGTTTTTTATCTGTAACTTTTATTTCAAATAATAAAAAAGAATGGAATTTTACCCAAATAATTTTGGGTTTGTATTGCACATAAACATTCCTTTATCAAACATGAAATTAAACATTTGATAGTAGAAATTTGTCTTTAAAGTAGGTCATTATAAGAGGGAAAAAATCGTGTAAACAAGTCAATTTACCGGACATTGTGTTTCAAAATGTTTTGAAGTCGTGAATTGAAATTAATTCTTAAATAACCAGCAAGGAAACTACCACTAGGTTAAGATAATTGAAAAACCCAGTATGTCACTAGAAATAGACACGGCAGCCATGCCTGTTATGAAGAGGCCAATATATAGGGTGTAATTGAAATTAAAACTATTAACTCAATTAACGTATTGATCCTTTTTGATCCTTAAACATATGAAACATTTTAATATTCAAAAGGAATTCTTTTCTTCTGTTCTTTGTCATACAGTTTCCTTTTGGTCATCATATAACATATTACAAAAGCCATAAAATCAGTTTTATTTACATTTCATGTAGAGTTTCCTCCCATTGGCGTAACCGGTTTCCTTATATGTTTTTTAATTTGCACTTCTTTGTAAAAGACAACAACGAGATACTGTTAAGACTAAATTTAAAATTACTTTTATCATTAAATCATGTTACGATCATCTCTTGAGGTAACTTTGAAAAGAATTAAAAGTATAACATATCTAAAAAAAAAACGTTAAGGGTCTCTGCGCAGAAAAGATTATTCCCCCCGCATGATCAGGTCATGAAATAATTAGTAAACAAAAGGGCATTTTAGTAGATAAAGAACTGAATCAACAATATTTACCTGAGAGTGGTTTTGTTGTTATTTACTTTGAAATAGAAAGTGTGTGTACAATTCAGAATGTATGACTTTTGAATCGAAGCAAAAAGTAAAGCACTATACAGCAGTAATAGCTTTTGTCGGGTAAACTGATTGTCCGGTAAATATGTAGGACCCCAGTATGCTGTTTATATCTAATCTTGTGTTTTACTATATATTTGTTCTCAATTTTTGAAAATATTCTCCAATTTAGATTTTCAATACACAATTATTTGTAGTATGATGTAATGTTGTGTTTATCTAATATAAGGATATGTTTAATATATCAGGTTGAAGAGAAGGGGTCATTGACAGCGGAGGAATTAGCCCAGCTTATTGGTTTATCTGTGATTCTAGCTAAAGAAAGGTGAGTTAAAAAGTGTGATTCCGATTACAATTTTAGTTGTTCAACATTGAGTAATTTAATGCTTTGTATGAAAGTATAGATTTTATTTTGTGTCTTGCTAGTATCCGCAAGTGTAAATCTAAATTTTTCATGTCAGAATATATCATGATGTCATATTGTACATGTAATTAAGGATTAAGTTTAAATTTTTTAGCATCTAAATACAATGTAACAAAGCTTGGTTTATAGATAATAATGAATTTTGAACTGTTTTGAGTTGAGCCTGCTTGTGGCAACTGACTGTATCCCTGCAACTAGTGCAGATAAAGATCTTTGAGATTTTCCTTTCAAGTAAATAATTTGTTCATTTTAAATAAATAGTATGGTTTGGTTTAAATGGATATGATATTTATACAGCATAGCCCTTATAGCAGATGCATTGAATAGGCAGAACAAGTTATTTGACAGTACAGATTTGATTAATCCTTCAGATTTTGACATTTGCAGTTTTGTATGAATTTATATAATTGTTTATATTAAGATAATGTACTGTATGTAGTACAAGTCTTGGAGAAATGTATCATCTGTTTTGTTTATATAACAGATTACTACTGACAGAGAGAGTTGGAGGAGTTTGCCGTGATGATTCTGAAGAAGGACTTAGATTTTATCCAAATTTATTTCTTACAAAAACATGAAAATAGATTTTACTCTAGAAACTGCTGATGATTTTAGGGAAATTTAATACCAAAAAAAAGGTATAAAAAAAACTGTATAGTCATAAAGTGCTAACAGATTTCACCAGATGGTGATACTTGAAAATATGCCACTTTGTTATAATAAACATATGGCAGAATTTTGTTGCATGTCAGTGTATACCTGATTGTGATTTATGATTGAATATTTGAATGATCTTTATAGTTATGGTGTTGATTCTGTTTAAGTGGTATAGAAAAAGCAACAAATAAATGATGTGCAATAGTTGATTTATAATTTTTGTATATCTACATTTAATGAAATAAACTTTATATGCATCAAGTTTGTTGTAGTTATTAAAGTTCATCAGTACCATAGTAACAGAGGATCAGGATGAAACTTTTATTTTAAATAAAAGATTTAATATCTATAATTATCAATTCAATTATCAATTTGTGGTAAAAGAAATACTTTCAACTATATACTTAGCCTGTAGCAATCTTATATAGCCCTGTATTTAAATTGTTCTGATTATCCTCTTGTAAAAATCTTAATTTGGTATGTCTTAAAGGGTCATACTGTATAAGTGGATTTTTCTGTGGGCTCCAAATTCTGCGTTTTTTCCATTTTTATTTCTGCGGACTTTATTTCTGTGGTATATTTGTTAGACAAAACGTGTTTTAAATTCTACGTCTCATCTTATCACGGTCTAAGTCACATTGCTCTACCTATTTCATTTGCATGTACACATTTGCATTTGTTTATCGTCATCACCGCAAAACTGTACAGTATTTACAAACAAATTTATTGTTTGCATGCAAACAAATGTAATGCACTACAATAGAAAAGTATGCAACTTTTGATCAGCGTGAAATGAGGTGTGAAAAATATACCCCGTTAGTATCATTAATTTATGAAAATTGATGTAAATTAAACATAAATCAGACAACAATTAAAGTTTATGACGTTTATCTAGCAGTATAAGGGTTAAAATGATTTAGTGGTAAACAAACCTTTCAGCGTCCTGGCAAACACTTTACACATACTTAGCCAACAGCAATTTTATCAAACTCGATGACCCGCCAACCGTTATAATCGGTTATTACTTTGGACACTACAGGTATAATGTAGGACACGTATCGTTACAGGTTGAAAAACAAAACATGGAGAAATATTCTGCGATTTTTTTTTCTACGGTGCTGAAATTGACTGCAGAATACGCAGAAATTAAGTCACTGCAGAAAAAAACACTTATAATGGTAGCATTTGTGATAGTCTTTTCTGTTCATTTCTTCTTGTGAATCAAAAGCTAGTTTATCATCAAACTACATAATAATTATAAAGCATCTTATAAGCTTGATCAAAGAAGTTGACCAGTGGCAAGGCCTCCCGAAACCCCAATGGACAATATCTATTTTCACATTAATAACAAGGACAACATTGTCGCAATATACGCCCATCACAAAAGCTTTTGATAGAGATGTGGGTATTATAGATATGCATATAGGAGATTATGCTCTGGGCAATATCTGGATATTTCATTATCTCTAGTGACCTTGACCTTGCATTAACCTAAATTATATATGTCAATCTTGTAGTCATTAAAGTTATAATTTGAATTACAATCTATCTATAAATGATGACTAAATGGTCCCTGTACACATCTGTTTTTATCTTAACTTTGACCTCTCTGTGATATTGACTTTGGTAGCAGGGACCTAGATTATGCGCGCAATACTTGGCCTCACAATTGTGAACATTTGTGCCAAATTACATTAAAAACCCATGATGAATGTATTAGTTTTGCTCCAAACAAGCATTTTTGAATGACCTTTGTGACCTTTAACCTAGCGACCTGGTTAATGCACGTGACACTGCTTCTTGTAGTGGTGAACATCTCTATGAACTTTCAATAGAATCTGTTCTTGACATTGTATGTATTGACCTACATTACAAGTGTCACAGACATAGTAATGATTACAACCCTCCCTCAATAAATGATGACTTAAGGTCCTAATACAAATCTTCATATTTTTACTTGAACTTTGACCGCTAATGTGACATCTTCATTGAGCTCTATGACATTGACCTTGAACCTGGTTCATGCCCGTGACACTGCTCCTCGTAGTGGTGAACATTTTTATGTAGTTTTAATAAAATCCCTCCATGTGTGTAGGGGATAAGCTCTGTACAAAATTGGTCGCCACCCGCCAAGGTGTTCCTATATGACCAGTTTTTTAAAAGGGTGAATAAAAATTGTTATGATGTACATTTGAATGGCCCTCCTTATCATTGTGGTTTCTTTTAGGGTCCCTAATAATTAAAACAGAACTTAAGTTGAGTAAAAGATAATATAAAACAAACTGTATAAAATCTATAAAGTTTATTTCATTGCAATTGAGCAGTAATGTCTTAATAAAATGAAAAACTTAAATCATTTGTTATAAATACAATAAAACAAAGGGGAAAACTTTGGAATATTTAAAAGGGATCACTTTTTTATAATCAATGATAAAACTAAAGAAAAACAAATTTGTTGTTAAAAAATAAACCGACAACCCAGTGAATTCACAATATTGCTATGTCAGTGAATGCATTTAAAAACACATTTATGTAAGACATAGATGCTAGAGATGAGTATAATAACCCCCCTATTCTTTGAATAGTCGAGCTAAAAATGGTTATTCTGGAATCATAGCGCGATCTGGAATTTTCCACAAAGGTTATTGGTTTAGATCTACATCAAATGATATAAAATTGGACAAAATATTTTGAGTCCCAATATGTCAAAAGACCTCAGTGACGTCCCTTTAACAACATACAAAACTAGACTATTTTAAAGGGAGATAAAAAGGAAAAAGAGTAATTCTTTCACATCTGAAGAATAAATAAAAGGAAATCATTTTGTCCATTTTAATAATACTGTATGTAATTAAATTTCATTTTGTAATGCAGTATTTTAAAAAGTGAAATGGCTGTCCTTTACTCTTAAAAATCTTAGAATCTTAAACATTAAAAACTGCAATATCACTAATAGATATCTGTAGAAGTCCTATTCCAACATTTTGTCAGGAATCTGGTGTACATTTTGTACCAATTAGGATATTATTCTTTGGTGTACATGATAATGGTTTTAAAGAGCACAAGGTAACACTGTAACCATTCTCTATAGCAAGGTTTGCACGATCTGTATCCACCAAGTTCATACAGTGACGCCCTGCAAAAAAAAAAAAAATTCATTAATTGTTTTATTAACAATTTTCTGAATGACAAATTGCTTATAAACGTATCATGTAAATGTTTTGATAGCTGAATTGTTAATAAACAAAATGAAAATAGTCAAATCCAGGTGAAAACTGTCCACAGAGAGCCAATAAAAATAATAAGCTGCAAATCTACCAATTCTGGGGGGTAAAATGTTCGACCTTATTCAGTACCTGTGAATCTGAAAGTCTGCAATTGGGACTATGTAATTCAAATTACATAATTCTTAAAGCTTCACATACATTTGTATTCTAAAACTTCATTGCTGCTTACTTTAGCAAATGCATGAGTTAAGCTTTATCTAAGGGCCATAATTTCGAAATGATCTGAAGTGATCCAAACAAGATGTACATAACTTGTCAGTTGCCACTTCAAAATCTCATAAAAATTGAAGCATGTCTTATTTGTCTTCCACATTTTCTTTTCTTCATCATTTATGTAAGCTCCTGTACAGTAATAGTAGTATATTAACTGATAGTAATCAATTGAAAACCTGTTGAAGATATGCTCTCAACAAAAAACTTTAAAATATACCTTGTAGATTGTGTTTTGGACTGAATCCTTTTTGATTACCTATTGACTTAGATTTTAATTTTAGAATTTTAATATCAAAATGCTATAAGCAAGTAAGCAACAGGAAAAGAGCCTGGTCTTACAGCACATACCAGTAAATGTTAGCCTGCCCTGGCTCTATACTGATGGCATACACATGTTAATATTTAGTATTAATAATAACATTATAAAATAACAAACCTTGTTGTTGTAATTCAGTATTTTCTTCTGTCTGATCTGCTGCATGACCAAGAGTTATAGCATCCTAGAAAACAAACAACTATGTCATAAAATCTCGGAAAAAGTTTACGCAAAAAGATGTCCATAGTTAATTTTTTGTCCAGATTTACAATAAAATTGAAAAGTGCAAACAAAAAATGGTCCATATAACAATGCTAATGCTTTACTAAGTATTGATACTATGTTTATATATAATAATCATTAATAACAAGCAATTATCATAGTATTGCAAGCAATCCATAAGTCCCCTACCGGTTAGAACCCCAGCAACATTCTGAAGGGCCATTGGCCATTCACTTATGTTTCTATTTTATGTAAATTTGTTGAAAAAGTGATCACAAGAAACCGTTTTTATGTACAGACAGACAGACAGACTGAAGGACACTCTAAAGTTAATTTTTAAACATCCCTGTTATCAAAATATAACATTGAAATAAAGATGCAAGATGTCATACATGATGTGAGTGTAACAAAGAACAATTAGTAATGAAGGTATGAATAATGAATGTTTTTCTTTAATTTGAAGTAAATGAAAGTTAAAAGAATGAATAGTTTAAGGAGGAGATAATTCTGGAAATATGGATGCTAGATTAATAAACCTTGTCATATTATTATGATGTGGGAGTTTGAAGAAAATCCTATCATGATTGAAGAAGTTGGAGTAAAAATTACCAAAAAAGTCTAAGTTCAAAAGGGGCATAATTCTGGAAATAGTCTTGCTAGAGTATTGAACTTCTAACAAATGTTGAGTGATAATAAGAAACATATATATGAAGTTTGAAGTAGATACATTCAGAAAAAAAGAAGTTATTAAAAAAAACAATATTTTTTTCATGAAAATTTTAAGTTCAAGGGAGGTAATTCTGATACATTTTGTGCTAGAGTTGTAAACCTTGTCACATATGATGTGGTTGATGACTAGCAAGTTATATCTAAAGTTTGAAGAAAATAACTTAAAGAACTTATAGTGAAAAAACTTAAAAACTTGAATCAGAAATCTTGAAATTCTTTCTATTTGTTGCCATAGCAACCAGAATTTTCAACATAGGAAGATAAGAAAATGATGTGCATAATTTCCAGACTGCCATCTACCCATATATCAAGTTTCATAAAAATATTTTCAGCACTTTTTGCGTTATCACTGGATCCAGGTTATGTGTAAAATTTGCCATATTTTCGGTCTATTTGTTGCCATAGCAACCAGAATTTTCGGCATAGGAAGAAAAGAAAAAGACGTGCATAATCTCCATACTGCCATCTATCCATATATCAAGTTTCATAAAAATATTTTCAGTTCTTTTTGCGTTATCGCAGGATCCAGGTTATGTGTAAAATTTGCCATATTTTCAGTCTATTTGTTGCCATAGCAACCAGAATTTTCAACATAGGAAGGAAAGAAAAAGACGTGCATAATCTCCATACTGCCATCTATCCATATATCAAGTTTCATAAAAATATTTTCAGTACTTTTTGTGTTATCGCGGGATCCAGTTTTGTGGACAGACGGACAGAGGGACGGAGGGTAAACCTAAAGTCCCCTCCGGTAAACCGGTAGGGGACTAATAATACACTATAACTATAATGGTTAAATAGTGAAACATTATATTCACCTTATCATTTAACTCTGCCTCTCTGTAACTTTGACTTCTGGGATATGTGATCAGGTGTGTATTTTGAATGCTACCATAGCAACAAGGGCAGATAACAAATGATGCATTTCTATCTAAACACTGTTGTAAGACGAGGTCAGTAGCTACCCCACATGCATGTAAACACACTCCAATATCAAATTTGCCTTTAAAATAGTCCAAATTACACTGAAACATATAAAACTAAACATTATTGAGAGAAAATTACAAAATATTTAAATAATTTTGTATCTTAATTAGAATACAAGACATTTACTTACCGTCTCAACAACTACTATATAATGCAGAAATGACTAGCTTCAGGAGTGATTTTTCTACAAGCACCAGATATGATAAAATATAAGTTACTAACTCCATTTTTCTAAAACCACTCATCCTTGACTAAGATTTTAAATAAATTAAGTCAGAAGTGAGATATTATAAAACTAGAAATGTGTCTACAGGAGAGGGATGCTCCCACATTCCACTCCATGAAGTGACAGGGCGACAGGACAACAGTTAGACAGATGGACAAGGGCAAAACTATATCTATATGCATCACCTTTGTTAACTGGGGGCATAAAAAGGAAAATAGGGAAGTATTGGTTAATATGAGACGTAGTTACCAATATTGAGGTGAAATTCAAAATATATTTTGTCACAAAATTAATGGGCACAAAAACCCTGTCAACATTATTTAGCTCTATTTTAAACAACACTACATAGAGTGTCATTTTCTTGTTATAAAATGATCCTGTAATTACTAACCTGATACAAATTGATATTTGAAAGGTTTAAATCGGTCACACGTCTACTAGCCCTGATCAAGGCATCTTCATTATTTTCAACTAAAACTACCTAAAAGTAATGGACAGATTGAATTTCAGACAACAAATCTCAACTCCTTGCAAAAGCATACAGATAAATGCTGCAGTACAGAAATCAAACACTCTTCTAAAATTTGGGCAGGTTTATGGTTAAGCTGTGCATGCAAATGCAAAGCAAGAACTATTTTCATTACAAGATTGATTTATCTATGAAACCACTACAGCATTTATCTGTAACTGCTTTAAATAACCCTTCCAGTGCTAGTTATGATAAGGACTTGTCCAAGTTAAAGACTGGTCAGTATACACATCCTAAAAGTCTGATTACACACACCCTATACAGTTGGCCGTATAATCTTAGCAATTTCACCTTAAAATCCCTCAAATTTGCGATGGACTATTCAGAAATCAAACCAGGACAAGTTTATTTCACAAATAAGCAGTGGAAGGGTTACCAAGTATGCATGTTAAAGCAGTAATATACATGTAATTTTTTCAGGTACCTGATAAAGTGTAACATTTTCGAGTCCAAGTTGGGTTTCCCTCCTGCTGGCTCGAACCAATGACTCTTCTTTATTCTCTATCAGGTATACCTAATAGCAGGGAAAAAATCACAATAGCCTCATACCCTACTTGAAGACATTTAATAACCCAAAAAGACGTAATGTCTTAGCTAGGACTTAGTAATAAAATAGTTCCCGCACACTGTGCAAAATACTATACCCAGTAGTTTATGCATTATTGTACATATTTGGTCCATGATGAAACGATTCACAAACCAACATAATTTATCAATACGTCTGTTTCACTTAATTAAGCTTCTTCAGATGATATGATATATGCTACATAACATTTTTTACTTTAGAATGTGAACATCACTATTTCTAGTTTACAACAGAGCTACACTGACAAAGTCACTTTCACAATGTTCAGGTTATATGGCTGGAGAAATATGCTAGAAACATTTGGGTGCACAATTTTAGGCACCTTGGTACAGTCATCAACCTTCCATATTTAAACTGGAAGCTTCCTTACAGCTGTATATCATTACAGGCAATGCTAATCAGAATTCAAAATAAATATGGTCAAAACACTATCAATCAAACTTGACATCTCAGTGACTCAATACTCAGAAATTATTCATTGCGTTTTTTATATTTATAATGAACAAAATATTTTAAGTCATAGAAACGATGCTAAAGAAAAACTTTTCTATTGGAAAATTGTTATATACATAATATTAACTTACTTTACAATCTGGTAATAGGTAAGCTATGATAATTCCAAGGTGACCCTGAAAGAAAAAATATTCTGTTTTAAAGTTGTATATGCAACATTTAAGATCTTTTTTTATTCTATTTTTTTTTTCCAAACAAAGTGCATAAACCTCTGCATATTATTTTTTTACTATCACTAACTTTACCTCTGGATTTCCATAAACTTTTTTGAACTGTAACAGTCTATGGAAATTCATTTAAGAAAAGATTATGGAAAATCAGGAAGACTACTCAACAAAGGTTACAACCGGCAAAGTGTTTTGTATGCAGGGATTTATGTACAGTCTAGCAGACTAGGCTCTGTAAAAGTGACAAATGCTAATCACTCTAAGTTCTAAGTTGCAAATACTCATCACTCTTAAGTTCTAAGTTGCAAATACTCATCACTCTAAGTTCTAAGTTGCAAAAACTCATCACTCTAAGTTCAAGCAGAGTGGGTTATGCCACACCAACACCATTGAATTTCTAACTTTGCTATTGAATGAGAACCAAATGTGCCCCCTTTAAATGTGAATACAAGCACTGAAATATTTAAATGTAGATTCCATCTTTACTTTCGTTTCGCTAAGATTATTATTTATTTGATATCCATGTCAGTAAAGTTCCTGCATTTATACTTCTCTGTAGCTCATTAATTTTTGTCAATTGAATGTTTTAAATATAATGACTGATGTAATTGCTGATATTCTAATGACCTTAGTAGACAAAATCTTATTTAGCATATTAATTCTTCTACAGCTTACTTGATTATTAATGTTATTCATTTCGTATAGAAGATGTAATGTTTGTGTATGTGTGTATATTTTTTATATATTCTAATGTTGTTGTTTGCTTAAGATGCCACTGTATGTTGTGCCTATTGTAAATATGTTATGCTCTCCCGTGTGGAGGAAATAAAAGTATCTATCTTAAAGTGTAGCTTCATTACATAAAAGAATGTGCATCTTTCTGGAATTATAGTAACAGAGAGAAGAGGAAATTGACTTGAACTATATTGACCTAACAGTCATAGTAGCTACCTACAAGAAAATAACCAAAAACTAGAAATGTGTCCATAGGACACGGGTGCCCCCACCGCGCCACTGTTTTGTCAATTTTTTTTACTAAGTCAAGGGAAATAACTCTACAAATACTGGATAAATCCTTTTTGAGAAACTTGCGACACAAGTTGAAAATTGCAAAAATTTTCTAAGTGAAGGGCAGTAACTCTAAAAATACTAAATAAATCCAGACGAAAATACCTGGTGCACAACTGCACATGCTGATCAATATTCCTGTAAAGTTACATGACTCTAGGTCAAATACTTTTTGAGTTACGTGCGACACATGTTGAAAATTGCAAAATTTTACTAAGTCAAGGGCAATAACTCTGAAAATACTAAAAATATCCAGACCAAAATACCCAGGTGCACAACTACACATGCTGATCAACATTCCTGTAAAGTTTCATGACTCTAGGTCAAATTGCAAAATTTTACTAAGTCAAGGGCAATAACTCTGAAAATACTAAAAATATGCACACGAAAATACCCAGGTGCACAACTACACATGCTGATCAACATTCCTGTAAAGTTTCATGACTCTAGGTCAAATACTTTTTGAGTTACATGCGACACAAGTTGAAAATTGCAAAATTTTACTAAGTCAAGGGCAATAACTCTGAAAATACTAAAAATATCCAGACGAAAATACCCAGGTGCACAACTACACATGCTGATCAACATTCCTGTAAAGTTTCATGATTGTAGGTCAAATACTTTTTGAGTTACATGCGACACAAGTTGAAAATTGCAAAATTTTACTAAGTCAAGGGCAATAACTCTAAAAATACTAAAAATATCCAGACCAAAATACCCAGGTGCACAACTACACATGCTGATCAACATTCCTGTAAAGTTTCATGACTCTAGGTCAAATACTTTTTGAGTTACGTGCGACACAAAAGTGAACGGACGGACGGACGGATGGAAGGACGGACGGACAGACGGACGAGGGTAAATCTAAATGCCCGCCACTAATGTGGGGGCACAATAAAAATATCAAGTAAAACACATACTGCCCCACTACAGAAATCCACTATTATATCACCGGGTGAGGCTATAGCCTGTACAGCCGTGGCCAGATTCTCCAACTGTTCACACTTCCGTCCCACTCGTTTCTCTGGTAACTCTGGAAAATATGATTTAGAAATAAAACCCTTTTCATAGTTTGTATTTTTATATCGTGTGTTACATAATAAAAACAAAGCCCAGACAATTTATCGGCATGTACAGACAAATTTTGTTTTGGATCAATTCTTAGCCGCAACAACATTGTGATGGTTATATGGTAACTCTAGCTAGCAAGGATAACTGATTTAAAGTTATCTTACTTTACTTCTCAGCCCTGCAGTTTTTTCCAAAGTAATACAGAAATTTACCAGGCATAGAAATTTTAAAATGCAAATGAAATTACAAAGTAAAACAAACATCAGTTTTTTACACTAAAGGCAATGCATATATAGAAGTTAAACTCTTAAGATTTCATGCTCCAAACCAAATTTAATATCAAATATAACAACATCAAAGCAATTTCTCTATTATACATAACATCATAGTTAAAGCCTGTACAGTATTCCATGTTAATTATTGTAAGCTTAAATCCTTCATAATTCAATATACATAAAAATTGTTGATTGGTATAATACTGGAAAAACTCACAGAAAATTGTCCACATATGATGCAACCTTGCTTATTTTTTAAATAGTTATTTTCCATTGAATAAATGCATATATTATAAAATATCAAAGACAAATCAAAGATACTCACACAGAGATCGGATATTATGATTTTACAAAAGACAAAGTCAGTCACAGAAGACATCAAAGATCTAGGCCCAACAAGACGCTTAGGACATAATGCTGTCTGTATACATGTAAATTATATATATTACAAACCTATTTTTGGATGAGCTGACAAAGGCACTGAATTCCAGTCAACTTTCACATTGTCTCCATACGGATGCTGTCCAATAACTGGATCTAAATGGTGTTCCTACAACACATTACAGGTATATACATTGTACATTACAATCTGTACAGAGCAGTCCTCTGTTCAGCAAATACCTCTTTACAACAACAGTATCATTTTCCCCAAAATAAGACTATCTCTGTAGAGCAAACACCTCTCAGCAACAATCATAATACATGTCTCCCAAAGGATGCTACTCTAAAGAGATTGTATGGTATTTATTTCTTATTAACAAAACTGTCTAATATTAGGCGATCATATCATTTTTTAACAACATTATTTGCTGGTATGTAATAAAAGACAAGGCCAAATTGGGTACATCATTATTAATTTTTCAAAAAAACAAAAAAAAAAAAAAATGAAAAAAAAAAAAAAAAAAAATTCTTCATTTTCTTTTAACAGTGAATGCTATCCAGCCATCATATAAAAGTTTGATGTTTCTATTTACATGTAGATGCCTGACTTTCCCGGAAATAATGCACTTTGGGAAAATTTAGATATTCTTGCACAAGTAATGCAGTAAAACAATCTTTAACCATCTCCTCTATTTCACTTTTAACACTCTAGTTTGTTGTTTATAATACACTTAATAAAGTAAAAGTATGCCATTAATCAAAGAAATGGAATGGACAAATCATATTTCACAGGTCAAAGTAAAATTGAAGCTGTTTCACAATAGCAGAAGCAATTTCATTATAAAAGTGTTTCAAAAGCACCTACTTTGACTTTTTCTAAAACTCTGGTAATGTCTTTCTTTAATGCTTTCTGCTTGGCTTTAGAACTGCGGCTGCAAAATAATAAGATGGTTACTATCAAATATATTTCTATATCATTTGTAAATCAAATGTTAACAATTTGCAATGAAAAATCCTTAACCAGAGCTGGCATTTCTAGTAGATATCTATGCATATATTAACTGTTAACCAGCTGACTTTCTGTAATTATCTTGTCAGCTCCCATATTTAGAACTGCCTATTATCAATTTTGGGGATCTCAAGATGAACATTTGAAGTCATTCAGCCAACAGTATAGAGCCTGGTCAGACTGCATAAGTGTGCAGTGCAGACTGGCTTTTGTTTCCATTGTTGGTTTTACAGTGCATCAACACAATTTACACCCTATGGTGCTCAAACAGGAAAGATGATTTTGGCTAACCTCAGGTGTTACAACACCAGGGGTCAAAACCAACTGACCTACTGGAGCTAAGAGATGCACAGACTCAATAATTTGAACCCATTCTCTCCCCTCTTATAATCATGCAGAGATAAACAGTGGCTGCAATTCTGATGCCTCAACCCTTAAAGACAACCTCTCAACCACAAGGGGGTCAAACTCACCTAGCTCTAGAATGGTGACAGCTCCAGACTGGTGGCAAAGGCTAATCACTTTTCATTCTAATCAGATAAGGGTTAAATTATATCATAACAATATCAATAGAGTTGAAACCACAACTTTTTCACAGATGATGCTTATGCTATTCAGTGGCATGGCAGTTGGAAAGATAAATCATTAACAAGATAGTCTTAAATCACTTTGAATAGTATGCTATTGAACACTCAGCATTGCAAACATATTACTGTATTTATACTATTAATTTCAATATTTTATTTCATTCATAATTTTTCAAACTGAACTTTCAACCTAAAAAAAAATTAAAGGGCATATCATCTACCCTAAAACAACAGCAAAAGATTGTCTTGGTAATTTTAAAAGCACAGTCTTGTTTTACTTTTAGTTTTCTATCTTACATATAAATAACAGCATTGCAATTACTGTACCTTATTTCTGCACTATTTTCTTCAACAATCAAGGTCACTGCTGGAATTGTAAACTCAAGGGCACCCTCTTCGTCCGAGATTTGTCTTGCAGACTTCGTTAAGGCGTCCATTTTGAATCCACAGGCCAAGGAAGTATGTTGCATTCTGGGTAGAGTTAATATATGGTTCAACCATTTCTTCACATTGGGTAATTTATAGAGGAAGCTTGTACATCTAAACTTAAGGGATTCCTACAAAAAACATTTTCAAACTTAAATGAAATTGATTTTAACAGTGTCTGATGTGATACAAAAATAAGCTTGTAGGATGTAAAGCATTTTTTTTTAACTTAGAAAAAAATTAGTTCATTTGATAATTTTAGTGCTACATAGTGTTATTTTATATAGAATTTGAGGCTGTAACAATTTTTTACTCTGAAATATTACAGTAATGAGTATGTCAAGATTTTTAAACAAGAGGGCCAAGATGGCCCTGAGGTCGCTCACCTGTATATAGCCCCCCCCCCCGCCCCCCCAGGCCAATTTTTACCCAAGGGCTTTTATTTGAACCGACTTGGTAGACACCCATAAGAAGATGTTTCATGCCAAACATCTAAGTTCTAGCTCATTGGGTTTTTTAAAAGAAGATTTTTTAAGTTTTTACTATACACATATAGTTAAAAACAATGACACCCCTGGGGCAGGGCCAGTTTTGACCCCCGGGCTTTTATTTGAACAAACTTTGTAGATATTTACTTAAAAATGTTTCATGTATAATATCTAAACTCAAGCTATTTGGGTTTTTTCAAAGAAGATTTTTAAGTTTTTGCTATACACATATAAGGAAAATCAATGACCCCCCCAGGCGGGCCAGTTTTGACCCCAGGGCTTTTATTTGAACATACTTGGTAGACACCCATTAGAACATGTTTCATGCTAAATATCTTAGCTCTAGCTCTTTGAGTTCTTTTAAAGAAGATTCTGTAAGTTTTTACTATATGCATATAGGGAAAATCAATGACCCCCTGGGGCGGGGCCAATTTTGACCCCAGGGCTTTTATTTGAACAAACTTGGTAGACACTCATTAGAAGATGTTTCATGCTAAATATCTTAGCTCTAGCTCTTTGGGTTCTTTAAAAGAAGATTTTTTAAGTTTTTACTATATGCATATAGGGAAAATCTATGACCCCCTGGGACAGGGCCAATTTTGACCCCAGGGCTTTTATTTGAACAAACTTGGTAGACATTCACTAGAAGATGTTTCATGTCAAATATCTAAGCTCTAGCTCTTACGGTTCTTTAAAAGAAGATTTTTTAAGTTTTTACTATATGCATATAGGGAAAATCAATGACCCCCTGGGGCGGGGCCAATTTTGACCCCAGGGCTTTTATTTGAACAAACTTGGTAGACACTCACTAGAAGATATTTCATGTCAAATATCTTAGTTCTAGCTCTTTGGGTTCTTTAAAAGAAGATTTTTTAAGTTTTTACTATATTGCATATAGGGAAAATCTATGACCCCCTGGGGCAGGGCCAATTTTGACCTCAGGGCTTTTATTTGAACAAACTTGGTAGACACTCATTAGAAGATGTTTCATGCTAAATATCTTAGCTGTAGCTCTTTGGGTTCTTTAAAAGAAGATTTTTTAAAGTTTTTACTATATTGCATATAGGGAAAATCAATGACCCCCTAGGGCGAGGCCAATTTTGACCCCAGGGCTTTTATTTGAACAAACTTGGTAGACATTCACTAGAAGATGTTTCATGCCAAATATCTAAGCTCTACCTTTTACAGTTCTTTAAAAGAAGATTTTTTAAGTTTTTACTATATGCATATAGGGAAAATCAATGAGCCCCCGGGCCGGGGCCAATTTTGACCGCAGGGCTTTTATTTGAACAACTTGGTAGACACTCACTAGAAGATGTTTCATGCTAAATATCTTAGCTCTAGCTCTTTGGGTTCTTTAAAAGAAGATTTTTTAAGTTTTTACTATATGCATATAGGGAAAATCAATGACCCACTGGGGCTGGGCCAATTTTGACCCTAGGGCTTTTATTTGAACAAACTTGGTAGACACTCATTAGAAGATGTTTCATGCCAAATATCTAAGCTCTAGCTCTTACGGTTCTTTAAAAGAAGATATTTAAAGATTTTTCTTTCGGTTGCCATGGCAACCAGAGTTCTGCATGAAATGGAATTCTTTGAACAATCTTGATAGAGCTTCATACAAAGAGTATTCCTGCCAAGTTTCATTAACATTGGCCTTGCGGTATCATAGAAGATGTCCTTAGAATATTTAAAATGTGGACGGACGACAGACGACGGACGCCATTTGGTTGGCCATCCTAAAAGCTCACCTGCACTTTGTGCAAGGTGAGCTAAAAACTATTTTCACACATCAAAAACTAAAAGATTAAGGAAATATTTATTACAATAAAAATGTGTATATATACTTACCAGAAGGTAATAGATATAGACAAATACTATGATATCTGCTACAGTAAAACTCACACCTTCCGCATATATGTGTTCATACACTATGTCGTGTAATGTCAGAGTGTTCACAAAGTCGCAGAGTTCCTCCATATTACCTATACTTGATACAGGTTCACAGCTGTCATTGTTTTTATTTACAATTTCAATCACATCGCTTTTATCATTAACCATATCATGATTAGTTTCCACGGACAATCTTGTATTATTTTTAGCCTGTCTCTTTTCTTTACGTCTTAATTTTTCTCTGTCATTACATTTAGCGCACCATTTAATTAAACGGTTTTCCGTACACCCATACTTGCACTTAGAGCCATTTTCTGAGTTAACAAATTTTTTAGATTCTTTTTCCTCTAGTGTAGTCACTCTATAGCTAATACTACCATGTGGCATTTCATCTTTACGATTTGCAAAGAAATTTTTTACAACGTCTTTTTCAACTTCTGGATGGTCCACGATATCTTCTAATTCCTTCTGAACAGTTTTTAACAACAGCCTTTTCTTTTTGTCATCATTGTGGAGAATTGGTGGGCTGTCAAAATGTAGCTCCAGTTTCATGACATCTTCAGGAATTTCAATACATGCTGGTGATGTTTCAGCCCTGGAAATGGTGTAAATGCCAGAGTTATTAAGGAAAAATTTATGCTTATAATTTTATTTTCATTCAAGTCAGTTCAAGTAGTTGATGAACTTTATTGAAAAACAACTTGGTTTGTGGTTGTCAAATATACTATTAATTTTAGACAATTTCAGAGACTAAACATCAATGGTGATAAGGTTGCTTACAAATTTTGTTTGTTTGTATTTATATGCCGATTTAATACAGTTTTGGCTTATCTTGGTGGTTGGTCAACCAAACTTTCCTTGAAAAATAAACGGTTATGACCAATTTCTCTGCAAGTGACTGACTACTAGTCCTACATGATTTCTGAATCAGCAACTAGTGACAAATTAGCATAGGACATCAATTGGCATGATGATCACAAGAGGATCTAACCTGCTCTCCCTAAAAGTTAAGTGGGAAGACTTGTTTACAAAGTCCAACATACTATGATTAATATCACAAACAAAAATATTTGTAGAACCACCAATCATTCATTATTAGCTAACTGTACATTTAGGAGTTTACCAATGCCAGTATTCAAGCATACCATTCTGTATCGATTTTCTTACATATATAATACAAGTAATTCAGTGACTTCTTTAAAGTGTGTCTCAAATTTAAATCATTATGACTCTGCAGATGTGCACATGTCATTGTAATGAGGTAACAACAAGAAAGCTTTAAGTATAATACTGGTAATTAAACTATCACAGTAAAAGTTATACAACCTCTGTCTTGTCATATGTAAAAATTTACAAAAAGAAACATGAAATATCATATACCTAAAGCAGTAATCATTATAACTGCTTTATAAATGTAAAATAAAAGTTCTTAATTATTAACCTAAAGGTGGCTTTATTGACAAAATTATGTAATAGGAATGGAAATATATCTGATATCATGTTTAAGTTATTAAGTTCAGAAATACAAAAATGTACCTTAAAATATTGATAAGATTAGAGATTGATTCTGGCAGTTCTACTTCACACAACTTAGTCCACCCAGACACCTGTAAAAGAACATGTACAAAAACAAAAAATACATGAATATATTAAGAATTTTACAATTACAGTTTAGAATGTGAATTGTTGCTTTTTTGTTTGTTTGTTTTGGGTTTTACGTCACATCGACACAGTATAGGTCATATCGCGACATTCCAGCTTTACTGGTGGAGGAAGACCTCAGGTGCCCTTCCGTGAATTGTTGCAACATATCAATTCACAAACTTGGGAATTAAAAGCTTGACTGGGGAGAGGCCTTTTATAGACCTCTGATCATTATATAAGGTGAAAAATCACTGGAAGTGTACACAAAACAGAGATAACTTGTTAAGAGCAATTAATACGCAAGTCTTAAGACAGGAAAGTCTTACCTCTGAACATGCCTTCAGACTTGCAGCCCTGAAACCCTTAAAAAGATAACATGACAATCGTTAAATATAATAATACACATATCATTTCATATAGACTTACATTTAACATGTCAAAGGCCAGGGACATGTTCCTTGTATATAAGGCCAACTAACTGTATAAATAAAATAAAACTAGATACTTATATATGCAATATACCATTCAATATCAGATATCTACCTTAATTTGTAATAGGATAAATTTTCTTATTTATTTACTACTGAAAACTATTCATATTTATATGTATGAATAATTCTGACAAAAATTGGTTATTTTAATGCTATTTTTCAAATATATACAATCTCTTTATAGAGACTTCTTTGCTACAATGCTACTGAACATAAATCCCTATATTTCCCCTTTTGATATTATTATGTTACTATGTAACATGTTAGAGTGATAAAAGTAATGATAATCTTTAACCTGCTGGAACCTAAAGTGATAAGCCTTTAACACCAGTATATAGCCAGGCCAGCCTGCATGTTGGTGCATACTTACAAGGCTCGAAACTTCCTGTAGCTCGATTTTACTATAACATTGATATCCATTTAACTTAAATGGAGTGGTTTAAATTCAAGGCAAGGCAAATCCATTACACTAATTCAGCATGTTAAGGATTCTAAAAACACAACAACATACCAGCAGATCAATGAGGGTCTTGTCGTCCTGTTTGGACTTCAACTCATGACATATCGTGATTATATGTCGCACTACACTACACAGTCCACATCGTATCATCAAATCTTTCAAATCCTGGTATAAAACAAAAATATGCTTCAAATTATTATTCAAATCAAATAGCCTGTCAAATCATTACAATGAGAATCCAACTTTTAGTATGATAATACGTTGAAATACTTTATTAATAAAAGCATGGTTCTTTAAACAAAGGTCTCTCATTTAATATTTATTCGTTAAAAATCAAGTGAGTTTTTTCAATCAAAGATGTTCTCTAATAGTTTTATACATATCTTTAATATAATACTGTGAAGAATACAACATTACTGTCACTGAACATCAAACATAGTAATGCATTAGTCACTGTAGTTAATGGTAAACCCTTTGCATGCCTTTCTTTAATTTTATGCCTTGTATTTGGTTTCAATAGAAATATTCTTAAGTTAAGCGGTATAGAAATCTGCTTAATGCAGCAAAGTTAGATTTCCAGAACAGAATGTAAGCAAGAAAGAAAGAAAGGTTAATGATGAAGTTCTTGTAATCTGAAAAATTCACAATAAATAGCAAGCATATTACTTGAAAAAAATTGTTAAATTTAACTTTAAAAAACCCCACAGGGTTTTTTTCAGGGGTTTTACAAAATATATTTTTTCGGGTTTTTTTCCTTTTTGCCCAACTTTGTGAAAAAGTTGTTTTTTTTTAACTTTTTAAAAACTTTAATATAACAATTTTTTATTTTATCAGAACTTTTTGGGGGTGAAAATTAACAAATGGGGACTTTTTAAAAAAAATTATAATTTTTACCCTTTTATGACGGGAAAAAACCCCCAGTTTGCCCCCTTTTCACGGGAATTAGGGCTTTGTCTAAAAAACTTTTAGTCAAAACCATTCAAACAATCAAGAGCCATATTGACAACAGCTTGTTCTTCATTGTCACCTGGTACTATATTGATGCAGAATGATTGTGTGTCACAGTATTTCAAGAGGAATAGAATCACAGAGGAAGAGAGGGGTACTGACACTGTTGACTCATCCACCTTGTATCCAGTGATATAAATCTTCATTTTACTTGTTTTATTGGTCAGTTACTAAATATAATCACAACCTGAAAAAAAAATTTAAGCCTTAAATTTCATACAAGTAAAACATGGCATTGATTATTAAAAACTACCATTATGCAATATTTTAGAACACAGATGTTCAATTTATCTGCATATAAAACATCAAATTTCTATATATTATACTTCTGTATCAGTTTTTCTTGATGGCATCATACCGTAAGGAAATGGTATTAGTGGGAGAACAGTAAGGGGAGGAACTGGTAAGCTGGAGAAAACAGGCCCCTAGTCTGACTACTGTGTGACACCTGAAAATCATTTGCTACTTTTAAGTTAGTCCAACTAATTGTACTGAGCGACGAGATATTGTGATATTTTCGTGTGCCTTTAAAGCGAGATTCTGCCTCAGAACGAAAATATCTCAGAATCAAGCTTTGGCACGTCAATATATTTTGACTACTTTTAAGTGTTTTGTCAAGATGGCTGAACGACACACCTAAGCATTACTCCCTATAGCAATAGAAATGCGAGAAACTGTAATGTTGTAAAACTTTTATAATTGAATGAATCATACAGACTTTCTTATTCCCAGATACTGTAGGAACATATCAAGTAGATTGTAACAAAAAATATTATGTTATGCAAACATTCAAGTAATTTATCTATCAATTAAAAATAACGATTTTTTTTAAAACAACAAAATATAAACCCTGTCAAAACAAGAAAGTTCCTTTCTTAAGAAACCCAAAATTTGCAATAATATAATGAACATTTTTCTTGGGTTGGAAAAATTTTTAAAGTCCCGAAAAATACAATTGGGGAAATAATTTAAATTTTCTTTTGGTTTACCTTTGGGGGGAGTGAAAACCTTTTTTTAGGAATTCAAAGGGCAACATGCTTATTTGAAAAAAAAACAAAAAATCGAAAACTTTAAATTCCAAAATTTTCCCCTTTTTTCACTTACTCGGGGTTTAAAAAATATCTCTAAGATGGGGTTAAAAAAATTCCCGGGGGGTTTGCCGACTTTCTTCCATTCAAACATATGGGAAATTGGGACCTTTTTTATACCAAGGAAAATAAACATTTTTGCGTTTTGGAAAAATCGTTTTAAAAATAAAAATAATACCCCACCATTTTTAAAAAAGTCCTTTTTTTAAAAAAAAATATCAAAAAGGGAACAAATAGTATTTTTTTATTTTTTTTCTAAACATTTTTTTTGTTTATACACTTTTTTCTTAAATTTTTTTTGATGCCGTAAAAATTTTTTTCCGTTTAAATTTATTTGGGCCTTCCCGTCACTTTTTGTCGCCTTTTTTCAATGGAAAAAATTTCCCCCCTTTTTTCAGTAAAAGAAACCCCAAAAATTTTTATACAAAAAGTATTGAAAAATTTTCCCAGACTTTTTAAATCACCCCAACGTTTTCCAATTTTTAAGGGTAAATTTTTGGCCAAAAAGGGGGAGGGGGATACGTATTTTTTAAAAGTTTTCTTTAAAAAAAATTAAATTTTTTTTAAAATGTTCATTGAAAAAGTGATTTTTTTTTTTTGGCCCTTTTGTGCACTTGATGAAAATTAGAAAATTTTTTGATTTTTTAAAACCCCTAAAAATTACTTTGTTTTGGTTTTTTAAAACTTTTGGGGTAGAAATCACGGGATATTGGGTTCCTTGTCATAATTTTTTGTGAATAAGAAAAAGGGAGACTGAACTGTGGCCCTTATGGGGATACTGAATTTTTGCCCTCAAACCTGAAAAAGCAGGGGGGTTCATCATAATTTTTGTACCCCGGCTCTTTCCTTACACAAAAGGGGGGGGGTCCACCCCAAGGGCCCAAACCCTTAAACTGCACCTTTGTCAACTCTTTTTTAAACTTAAAATCCCAAACAGAAAATTTTTTTTTACTGGTTTAATAACATTTCAAAAAAATTTACAGAAATTTTGGGTTTAATTTATTTTTTGGGGAAAAACAAAAATTTTTGATTTTGTTTATCTACAATAATTTAAAAATTTTTTCAAATACTTAACAAATGCTTAATAAAATTATGCCAATAGTCATATGGGTTCAAACCCTGTCAGTGCGAGCCATTGTTTCCTTGTTTTTCAAACCCTGTCACACGGTGTCAAGGGTACACGCATCATTTTTCCGCGTACCGTCGATAATTTATCATCCTGCGCGCAGCACCGTATCATTTTAGACATTACAAACACTGAAACACATCATACATGATGGAAAACGACCTGAAAGTCACACTTTTGAAGTAAGTGTATTCATAAAAGTATGTCTACGGAATATTATGATCATTGAAGCTTATGTCTTTACCTAGTTTTTATCAAAGACTTGTACGATTTCTTTGTTTTAATGAAAACAGCTAGAGCTGGCTTGGGGAAAATGATCATTTGGATAACTTTTAAAAGGAGAAAATTATGTTGTCAATCAAAATATTTATTTGATATAACTGTAAGCATCAAAGATATGTATACAAAAAATATTGCACACAAATTTAAGCTGTTTAATTTCTTAAAAAAGTCATAAAAGCGTGACAACAGACCGAGTTCTTGGTACCGTATCATGGGTCCGCATCGAAAATTGTGGCACCGTATACATTAGCGCTCGACTTGCACCGCATAATGATGATTAACCTAATGATGAATAATCTTATTTGTATTTATTTATTGTTGCGCATCTGGGCGTATATTTATTATTTACAAACCGGAGGAAAATGCATAAATACTAGTGATAGTTCTAGAAGCAAACCTGGTTCTGTGTGTGTCCGGCGTAAACACATGGGACCACGGTCACATTCGAAATAATCTGAGTCTTTGCTTTATTATTAAGATCGGTTCGATTAGGACAACCTGAGTGCAAATTGCTGACTTTATTATGCATGTAAAGAAGCAAGTTAATAGTGAAAATGTTATGTATATTTAACACAAATATGCATATATTATTGTTACCATTTAATACATACTCTTTGAGATAGTGCTTACGGAGAGAGTTTCTAAAAATAAATCAAGCTTCCTTATCAATCCGTGCAATTTAATATTTGTCAATTATCATGTTATGAAATGTTTATAAATAAAATGATAAATAAAATATTGTTATAACTAAAGAATTTGAGTAAATACATTGGAAGAGTAAGGAATCGAAGCCGAGACTTCTAGACTGAAACGGCGGACTTGGAAATTCTGGCATCGCTTGTCGAGGCGCCATGTTTCCTTGAGCAAGAATCTTTAATTGTCGTGGTTAAAGTTATTTATAAGTTTTATAATAGTCTATCAATAACTGGAACTAACAGGAGAAATACAAGCATGACGACACAAATATGTAATGAATACAGTACGAGTTTTACTTCAAAATTTTCTTCTTACAGACATAAGAAGACAATTTTGAAGAAAATACGAGTAACTGTATCTGACTTACGTTTAATTGTAAAGAACCGATCAATTAATAAACACATTTAATTATAAATAGATCTATGTATGTTCACGTTGAAAATATAAAACTATAGAAAATATTTGCAAGGCCTTTAAGCTTTGGGCAGTGAAAGGTGTATGTAAATTGTATTCGCACGGAACTCTCGTGCACTTAGTCAATAATTAGACATAATTCACTTTCATTTATGATAAACAATGTTTAAATGGCTGTCATCAATTAACATAATCAGGGGTGTGGAAATATGAAATTTTGCCACTTGCCCACGGACAAGTTTTCCAGAAATTTTTACTTGTCCGCAGCTTAATGTACTTGCCCATATAAAACTACAAAACATTGGCCATGTGTTAAAACAAAAGTTAATTGGCGGTAACAGTGTCCTTTCATATAGTAAGGTGTGAACGGATTTGCTGAGTATAGACCAGACATCATTTCTGTAGTTTGAGGAATAATCTACAACTTTTATAAATGATGTCCAAACAATTATCCTTTTGAAAATTTTTTAACCAAAACAACTTTACAATTTTTACCAAATGTGCATTTTTAAATTTACTTTACATAGTGGTTGCCTCCATATGGCCTGCATGT